ATCATAAACATTTCTTTTTCTTATTGCTCAATAAAACATAACCAGTTATCGCATCATCTTTCGTTTAAATTCATTTACTCTCACTCTAGCAAATAATATAGTTTATTGAATTTAAGTAATACTTTCTACTACCAGGAGGAGGATATCGTTGTAGCTCTTTTTCGTCAAATGATGTTTTAGAACTTTATCGGACTTGATAACGAATGTTATCAGCTGCAGTGATAATCTTATTAGCGAAATTTCTCTATAAGTAATATTTCAAATAAGTATCAAAAAGAAAGAATAAACCGTGAAATGTGTTAGTAAACGAAACTGTAATTGGCTAATAAGTTACACTGTAGTCAAAATCCTCCATACTTAGTTATTTCGTTTACAATTGCCCCCTTATATTCTTCCCAAAAAATATGATAGATTTTAGATTTTACCTTAATATAAATTTTCTTGCTTTTTAGGATATTGAATAATTAAATGCCTGATTATCCGGCATGGGTACCGGATGAAATTGTGGTTGGATATGTTGAACATGGTATTCAAGATCTTCTTTCTTGGCAATTGGATGTTTTGAATAATCGATCTTTGCAAGCTCCACAATATGGTAACTTTATATTTTCCGCTCCAACAAGTTCCGGTAAAACGGTAGTTGCCGAACTAATTGCCATAAATACTGTCCGACAATTACGCTGCAAAGCAGTTTTCATCTTCCCATATATATCCGTCGCAAAGGAAAAATTTCATATTTTGCAGGTTAACTTTTTTTAAAATATTTTATGTCAAATTTTGAAGCCTTTATTTTATTATTTCGATTTTTGTTAAAACATATTTTCCTCTTATTTTTATACAGTTTCTCTATTCATAGTTGTATTAAATTCAGCTGATATTTTTTATGACGTTAACGCTTCGTTTTTAAGCGATAAAGAAATTTTTTCAAAACTTACAAAATTTTCAATGATTTTATTTGCTTAGAAAATATGGCGAAGAGTTGACCTTCGTGTTAGTGCATTCATAGGCTCACATTCGTCATCATTTCAAGTTTGGGATGCATCAGTATGCACAATTGAGAAAGCTAATTCACTCTTAAATCGTATGATTGATGACAAAACTATATTTGATATAGGTTAAATTTTTTTTGCTTTCTTCTTTAAAATGAATTAATTGTATATCAAAGAAGTTATATTTCATGGATATATTTTATTAACGAAATCTGTTGCGATGTACACTTCAGTATCGCAAAATACTCTAGTATGTGCACGCAAACAAATAGCAAAAATTGTGCTGAAACGTATGCGTATTGTATTCGCTAAATATAGGAACTCATAGGTCAATGGAGATACACAGATAGTTCTATTTCGATGTTATTTTATTCATTGTTGTTGAAAAATTACTATTTACTATTGATTTACCTTTTGTTAGGTGTATTAGTAATCGATGAATTTCATATGTTATTTGATGGGAATCGTGGTCCATTAGTGGAGCAAATTGTTGGGAAAGTATTGTACATCTCGCGATTTTTAAAGTAAGAATTCCCGAATGTAGATTGCCAAAGCTTTTCTTTATAATACTTTATTAGGCTACATCTGCATAATTCCAATAACGTTTTACTAAATTAAGATCCTTAAATTCCTGTAAGATCTGGAATTTTTTGTCGACCTTTCAAAGTTTCATAGAAGATTGCATGCTTTGAATTTTAATTTTTGCAGTCATAAAATTCAAATTATCGGCTTAAGCGCTACGTTACCAAATTTGGATGAACTAGCTGACTGGCTAAGTGCCGAGAGGTATGAAACGCAATTTCGCCCGATACATTTACGTGAAATGATAATGTGTGATGGCCAACTACTAGATGTAAGCACATTGCAGTGTATTCGAACGGTGTCAAGTGAACTTGCTGTTTCAAACGATATCGAATATGCAATCATACAGTATGATTTTTGACAAATTATCAGCTTTAAAATTAAAGATTTTCAAACATTTCAAATCTTTTTATAAACTAGAATTTAGGAAAAATCCATTTTTTTCCGAAAATTTTGGAATTATTGAATTATGAAAATATAAGAGTGAACTCGACATTATTTTAGATTGTGTACGGAATCTGTCATAGAAGGCGAATCGGTGCTTGTATTTTGTAGTTCGAAAGCAGAAACAGAAAAGCTTGCCCTAGCTATATCGCATCACTTCGGAGAATGTTTCAAATCGGGCAATAACCAAAATCTTATTTCATCCTTGAATATACAATCACTGAAAGCAGTTAAACGAGGATTTCATCATGAAATACAATTTATAGATGATATTTTGCAAAAAACAATACCGTATGGAATTGCATTTCATCATGCTGGTTAGTTTTGCCAGATGTTAATGTATTTTAATAATATCCCTTTCTTTCATGCAGTTTTAAGCTCGGTTATTGGATCAGCGTGTTTATTACAATTTAACTATATTCTTTTATCTCTGAATCATGTTCAGAAATTTCATTCAACATTAAAAATAAAAAGCATCTTATCCTTGTAACAACTTACTGAAGTTGAACCTGATGATCGTTGATAATCTATTAGTTTGAGTTAAAATGCAATTTAATTTTTACTCTCTCAACATTTAATGTATTTCTATTTTTATTCTTAGTTAACTGTTTATTGCATTTCAAAATGGAAAAAATTTCATCAAAATTCTGGACATATTCGTGAAAATTAAAAATTTCCCAAATTTACTTAAGTTCGAAAAATTTTTCCCTAAATAAAAAAATGGAAAGGAATAGTTTTAAGTGTACTACCTTTTCACATACATATACACACGTGTATATATATGTTTACATATATGTACATGTGTATGTGTCCGTGTGCCAATTATCGATAATGTCATCTTGCAACAATTGAGGAGACGGTCTTCTTTTTAAGAGCGTTGATTAAGTGCCATTCATTGGATAAAGAGGGGCACATTGTCATTATTATTAGCGCATTAACACTTTGATACTTACTTACGGATTCATGTATTTACGTAACCACTTATTTACTGACTTATTTACCTTATTTTTTTCCAATTGCCGTATTTATGTTTTGAAGTCGTTTGTCAAATCATCAACATTATACTTACTTGATCATTCTCGTTTTTATTCCAATATGTTTATCGCCGCCTAATCTTCTCATCCGTTTCTCTTTTATGACCTTTTTCCAAATGCCTATCTCTCCTCATTTCTCACTTATTGCCGATATCTTCCATTCATTCGTTCAAAATAAAATTATCTATCCTTTTGAAAAATGGATTCTTTGGTGAGAGCGAATTAGTACACATTCTTTCCTTTAGCTGTCAAAATCCGGAAATGTTAAAATTTTCAAGAGCAATTTACGCCAATTGAAAAATGATTGATAATCTTCTTTGAATGATGAAATTGGCAATTATTTTCCGTAAAATCTAATAGCACAATCAAAGGAAATGTAAGTAAAAGATTGAAGTAAACAGTTAATTTACTGGTAACACAAATTCAAGGTATCAATTTGAAAAAATAAATAATCGATATGTTAAGTATATATTTCAGGTTTAACCGTAGAAGAACGTGAAAGTATTGAGAATGCTTTCCATGAGCAATTGCTGTGTATAATATGTGCAACATCAACCCTCAGTTCGGGAATAAATTTGCCAGCTCATCGAGTAATTATAAAAGCACAAATGTGCGGGCCTATAGCGCTTAATGGTTTAACATATATGCAAATGGTTGGTCGAGCTGGACGTTTAGGACAAACCGAAAAAGGTATCAATTCAATTGATTGTGGTGAATATCAACTTTATTGTAAATGAAATTATTTTTTGGAATTCTGGAAAGGGAATTCGAGAAATTCGGAAGTCTCTGGAAGAAACACTACCATTCATACATAAGATTCTCTGATAGGATTTCTGCAAATGATTTATATGAGTAGTGAACCTGTTTGTAATGAAAAGTGATGGCAAATATAGGCTGTGTCAATCCTGCTAAAGTTATTGGAATTTTCGGGTAATTAGCAAAGACTTGAAAAAAATACCAGAAATATTTGAACAAAAAACTAAAACTATATGAATATAATCAAAGAAACTGAGCTTATTCCAAAGAGAGGCAAGAATTTGCTGAATTTATCGAAATAGTCTTAAAAATATTCAACAATTATTTGATTGATCAAAAGATCATTTTAAGGTTTATCAAATGTGAAATTCCTGCAAATGTTAAGCGAAAAAATATAATAGTTTAATAAGGAAACATATATTTGTAGAATATGAAATGTTAGGTTTTTTTTTTGTTATTTATTTATTATTATAAATTAAAATGTATCTTTTCATAAATGATGTTTCAAAATTGCTAAAATCATTATTAGACTAAAAAATAAAGTGATACGAAGTTTCAGAATTATAGCTTACGTAGTAATGACTATTTAGTTACCTGAACTTTATTAAACTTTTTTTTTGCACGAAAAGTTGAAAATGAAAGTTAATAGATTAGAGGGTAAATGATCATAAGAATAAAAGATGTTATTCATTAATTTTTTGCTCATTAATAACTTTCGACTTCCTAGATGTGATATTTGAATTTTATTAAATAGCGGTAAAAACTAGTATAATCGATCCTTCGAAAAGCTGGAATATTTAATGACCTTATATCTGAAAGTTGACCTTGTCAAATATCTTCCTAATATCGGATAATTAAGAAGTAATATTGTTCATATATTGCAAAGGTCAAAGGTCATTTGAATTAGAGAAGCGTGCGAAAAAAGTTGTATTAGACAGTAGCTACAAGTGATTGTTAATGTTGAAGCAATTATATGGTAACTTGATATCCATTCATCTCAAATTGTCAATAAGTCATTTCGCTAACTCGAGGGACATTTGCCGGAGATTAATTTATCATCCAAAATAGATTTGCTACACTTAATTTTCTTCATGTCTAATTTCTCTCTTCCCTGCATAGATTGAATTTAACTGACGATGTTATTTAACATAAAATAATACTTCATTTTTTTTTTAGCCAATTAAATTTATAGATACATTGATTTATAGATACTAACTTCTTTCAATCAAACTAGAACCTTGGGTTTATGTCTGAAGCTTGGCCTTTGCTAATCTTATCAGATGGAAAGGTGTAATAATATGAGACTATAAGGTAGGCAGATCTAAATTTACAATAGACTAAGGAATTAATTTAAAGGATGGATATTTTGAGAGATTAATCAAATTTTAAAGCTTATCTTTTTTAATCCCAAAAACTTCCTACCATTTACTATATTATTTCCTCAAGATGTTTACAATCGATTTCATTTTTCGAAATTCATATTCGAAAAGATGTTAGTGATGAAGTTTCTATCGTTGTGATAAAGTTTTTCCCTCTGAGGAGCTTATTTAACTAAGCAATTTAATAAGTAATATTGAATTATCATAATTGAAATAGTTAGTGAGATATTTTTCTAACATACTATCCTTCTGTAAGTTATATTTTGTTAATTTTTCTTACAGTTGAATAAGTTCAACATCTGTTTAACCAAATGTCCAGAAAAGATACTGTAATATTCAGCATCACTCCTTTTTCTTAAATAATATCAATCAATTACAATTATTGAAGCCTTGGCATTTCGAGTTGTAATTAATTAAAGCTGAAGAATTTTTTTAAGTTATAATTTATTGTTGAATTTTTACATTCTCTTTTGCTCGGGTAGTGTTTGATCAAAGTTGAATTATGAAACCGAAAGTTTAGTATATAAATAATTCAATATATTGTAGATTTTTACATTCTCTTTTGCTCGGGTAATGTAATACTTAATCAAAGTTAAATTATGAAACCGAAAGTTTAATATATAAATAATTCAACTCATAATTTCTCCCAATAAGACTGTTGAATTGCAGAGAAAGCAAAAGAAGAGAATTAAATGAGAATATGAAATTTATTAATTAAATGCTAATAAACTTACAAATTATTATCATCATACAGTAATCATTTTGTATCATAGGAAAGCATTACTGTGTTCATAATATTCCTAAGGAATTTTAAAAAGATTAGTTTAAAAGTGACCATACTTTATAGTCTTATTGAAATTAAAATTTATTAGTAACTTTGTTATTAACAAATTTTGATCTTAATATTTTTTCCTCTAATATTCATTATTGCATTCATAAATATTAAAGTGATAAATAAACATGATGAATTCATATTGAAAAATATGATATATTTATAGTGTGATAACGAAAATATCATTATAGCTTACAATATAAGACATATCACAAATAAGAATGATCATGTTAATATGATAAAATTCTGAAACTACTTCTATTTTTTCCTTACTCTATGCTAATTTTGCCTAGTAGCATTGGTATTATTATTTAGATATTGTAAACTATCATATTGATGATAGGAAGATAACTTAGTATCTTGCTGATTATGATTAATATTATGATTAAGATTATTATTATTATTATTTGAAATATCCGGTGAGCATGCATCCACCGACCTGTCATCCTCATTCGATTCCTTATCAATTTCATCATTTTCCAAATGTGCTGCTGCTTCAAGACTTTTCTTATGCATTCCTGACAATACAAGAAATTCTCTTTAAATAATTAATTAAGATTTAATTAAATTTGATAATTAGCATATAATTATGTTACTTAGGTGAAATAATTAAATGTAATTTAGTTAAATTACATTTCATTTTTTACCAATTTCAAGTTTTAATTTCTAAAATTACAATTATTACATATTTATAGTAATTTTATTCAATATTATTAAATTATTATAATTTTATGAAAAAGCTTCATCTAATGTTAATCCTTTGAATTAAATCAAAGTTTTACAATGGCAAAAGTTATGAGGAAGAAGAAATTGAATTAATTTAATTTTGGAAGTAAATTAAATTTATGAATGGAAGAAAAAAGAAAACAAACAAAATCAAAATGTTGTAAAATTGGAGAGTAAATATGGTTGGTATTAGATAGTCAGCAATTGCGTCAGTTTGTTTCCATCTAATTATGTTCAATATGTGATGGTCATTAATTATGATGTAATGATTATAGAATAAGATAGATAATCATGATATTAACCAGTTATATTTATGTTACGGTATATAAGTTGAATACATTTGTTTTTTTTAGTAGTAAAAACAAAGAATATCTAAGATCATCATTCTTCATCTTATTAATATTTTAGCAGCAGTATAATTAAGCAAACATACCTAAAAGCCATGGAGCAGCCGATTCATTTGGATTTTCGGATGATCGTGTAATTGTTTCTGGTAATGGTAATGAATGTCGAACCATTGCACCATATAATCCATATTCCGCCATTATTGTACTTTTACCCCATGTTTTCTCTGTCTTCCTCCATTTGGCTCGACGATTTTGAAACCAAACCTATATCATTTAATAATAATTAGAAGGAGAAATCTTTTTTTGGCTTCTTTTTTAAATAAAGAATAATATATCAAAAAATGGATAATGACAGATAACATGAATGACTAATAGAATTGCGAAAATTACCTGTATCCGATCTACAGCAATTTCGGTTCTCATAGCTAATAGTTCACGAGCATACATATCAGGATAATGAGCTTCCTAAAAAAAAAAAATTATTGATAAGTTAGTGAGTTTTCTAGATTATCAAAAAACTTTGCAAAAACCTTTTCGAAGATCAAAAGCATAATTTGAACTACTAGAATGTTAATGAATTTTATCGATGTTAAATGTGTGTAGCTTAGAATGGAAGAAAGAAGAAAGCGAAATTTATCCTAATATAAAATCTAAGCTTATATCTAAGCTATATTCTAATATCAAATATCAAATGATATTTTTAAATTGGTGTCAAGAAATTAGGAAATGATATTATAGGCAGCGAAGAAAGCAATGATATTGTTTAATTTTCCAAAAATGATTCTTTAAATTGTTCAAATTAAAAAATCAAAAACGTAGTAAAGAAATCAGAATACGATTATAGTAAGAGCTAAATGAGTATCATAAGATCAATATAATAAATGCTACTTCTCTGAATCTTATAAGATACAACAAAATTTGATATCGAAAATGTTTTGCTGGATGAATAAGCCTTTCAGAACTTTTATTGCATTCAGAACTTTCTCTCGATATTAAATTTTATTATGTAAAATAGATTGTTGAAAGAAATGACGAATTAAGGATCTAATAATAAAGAAAAAAAATTGTTTTTAATTTCAATTAATTATTGAAAATAAGGTAAGCTCGAATATTAGGCATCAGCTGCGTCGGTTCTTCCTTCGTTTTAATTAGTCTAAGGTATAAATTAAAAATGAAACTAGTTTAAGTTATAACTAGTTAGTTTTGCTAAATGTAAATCAATTTAATTTTTATCATTAATTGTTTTTAAATAAATCCTTTTTCAAGATAAGAACAAATGATTTAAAAATTTGAGTATTTATCGGGTGTTATATGAAAGCTAAGATTGAAAGGCTAACGCTAAAACTTCACGACAGAAAAATTTAAGGTAAGTGATATTTCAAATTATCATTAGAAGAACAATGACATATTCGCAACAGAAAAATATAAGTGATATTTCAATTTCAAATTATCATTAGAAGAATAGTGATAAATTATAGCTAACTTGAAAGGCTTTCTCCAATTCATCTACTTGAAATTGCGTGAAAATCGTTCGATGACGACGTTTTTTTCTTTTTGAAATGGCTTTTTGATTGCTTGATGAGGGAATATTGGTTATAGCAGTTGCCGTTCCGAACATTGAATTGGACCGGATACCGGTATAATCAATTCCAGACATTCCTGTCTTATTAGTAGTGATAATAAGAAAATAATAATTAGCAGTAAATGTTGTTAGTAATGTAGTTTATTGTTTCAATTTTACGATCTATTACTATTTTTCCCTCTCTTTCTCATGCTTCAAATAATAATTAACACCAAAATCACTAATCATAGCTATTTTTTAAACTCCTATTTCTAATGACATATTACTCTCTTAGATATGAAATTCTACACAGTGAATCAAAGAAATGATTTATAGCTAATGAGCAGATAAATAAAAAAATGAACAATTATAAGAAGTCAAATATATTGAGTAATGAATACGAAAAGTGATTAGAATAGATAAGGATAATGAAGAATAAAATCGAATTACCCTGATTAATTGGCTCATATTGGACTCGATCAAATCGACTTTGTGGTATTTCCACAGTAAACAACTGTGGTGCATTATGAGGAAAGAATGATGCCGTTTGATTAGTACAGTATTGTGGTGTTGTGGTAAGATAAGTTGCAGCGGTACCTTGTTGCATATCACGAGCTGCCGCTAATCCTAGCAAACTATGAATCCCAAACGACATTCCCATTCGCTGAGCTGCAGCAGCACTTGTAGCAACCATATGATCGGTTCCGCTTGTAGCTAACTGATGTGCCATAGTACCTATTCCGGTTGTCGAATTTCCTCCAATACTACAACAACCACTACCACCACCACCACCGCCACCACCGTTACTACTGCTACTACCACCATCAAACATCGCAACCGATATTGTTTGCATATTTTTCTTTCGTATTTCTTTTTCGTTTTTATCTGGATACTAATAATATATATATATCCGAGAGTATAAATGGGCAAATAAATAGATATGCAAAGATTTAACACTTCTTAAGGAATAGGTAGGAACTAAGATGTCTAATGGTGGTAAAGTGCCATCACTACACTTGTCATCCTTTAATTACCGTATGATTAAAACGATTATTCAAAAGGCGGAGCATAATCAACCAACCGAAATCATCTCAATACTCTTTTATAACCAATCAAATTGAGTACACCTCTTTTGTTCGGTTTGCTTAGAAATTAAGATAATAAAGAGAAGAATAGATTAAAGGAAATGAAGAGAAAGAGAAGATGAAAGAAGAAATTAAAATTTAACAGCACAAAATAATTCCAAAAATGCCTTAAAATTTAGGAAGGATTGAGCAATACGAGGAAATTATATGCAAATAAGGGATTAGATGAAATAATAAAGTAATTGGAATCATATTGACAAAATTAATTACTAATTATTATAACTATCATCAATAAAACTATCATCAGTTATAACCATTATCAATCATCAATTATTATAACTATCATCAAAATCATCATCAATAAAGGATAAAGATAGAATGATATGTTAACTGATATTAATAATTAGTAGTATGGAAAATAACGATAACATATAAATTGATGATCAATAAATAATAAGAATGTAATAATAGTAATAATAATAACTCCAAATATGGTATTAGCAATAAGATTTGATTTATTTCTAAAATAAAAATGATATCAAAAAGAGATATATGTATGGGAAATATGAGAGGATTAATTTTGAGGATAAATTGAAGTTAATTGAATGAATGAGATAAAAAGGAGATGAATAGGCCTATCTCTATACATACAAACATACGTTTATAAACATATACACATTGGATAAGTTAAGGATGCAATAATTGAATTGGCTATTCCACATTTTATTGTTAAATACTACAGCTGCTATTAGCGCATAAGGATATTAGTTGAATTTAAATAGGCAAAAGATTACAGACCATTTATGATTCATAGATTATGATATTTGTTAATCTTTTGATTCAAAATTTTTTCTATGTATTTTTTCTTTTGTTTTACTGTTATTAATAATTTTAATATTTTGTTTTTGTAAGTTTGAAAATTTCATTAATATTTTCAATTTTTTCCTCTTCGATGAAAAAGTGAAATTTGTTTTGAAATTTTTATCTTCAGTTTTTCCATCAATATCATAATGATATTAGCAAATAGCATAGAAATGATAAATGGTTAGCAATATTGTAAGTTTCTTGTTTGGATAAACTGATATTAGATAATTTGAATTTTTCTAGCATATTATTATCAATGGTTAAACTAATTGATAAGATAAAATAAAAGAAAGAAATTAAATAGTATTTCAAATTGATAAACATCCTTAACTACTACATCCAACATTTGCGACTAAATAGATTTTGATGATTAATTTTGTTTGATGAATCATTCATTTTATTACAGATGCTTGAGTAACGATTTAAATATAGAGAACTTGAATACAAGAAATACTCAAAACGATTCAAGTTACTATCAAACAAGCATCCATCCATTCAACAAATTGAATGTATTCATATGAAATGTTTGTAATTTCAGGTGAAAGTATTGTGGTATGTAATAAGAATCAGCTAGATTTAATACAACGAGTTATTCGACAAAAAGCAATTTTCGCTCGTAGATGTGAAGTTCGAAGACGACGAATTAAGTTAATTATTGAGGTTATTTGACGTTTGCAATTTTTTATCTTCCACTATTTTCTAATGTGAATTTATCATACATTTTCATTTTTTTTCCTTTCAATCGATCAATAATTTTCCGTTTGCGAAAACTTCTTCAATAACCCATAATTAATTAATTAACTGTATAACGATAATGAATAACAGTTAATAAGTTATCGTAATAATTTGCAAATATTAATCGATAAGTATAATTTATAACTTGTATAACTAACTTTTAATATAACTTATAATTATCTTATTTTAATAGTCATTCCTTTCAAGCAAACAATAATTGTAATTATAGGCAATATGCAGTGGTCTTTGTGAAGATGAAAATGATCTGGAAAATTTGCTTTCATTATTGTTTTTTGAAAGACAATTAACGATAAAGGATGAGCTCAATTTTCTCATTGAAAGAAAATTGATTTGTTATCAGAAAGGTTTCATCATTAATTATTGCGCCATTTTTTGGATTATCAAATTATTTTATCTTAATTTTTTCAGCCAATTAGTAATTTGTATCTTTTAATTCAATAAAAATTTAAATATCATCGGTGCTACAACTTTATTATTATCTATTAATACAATTGAAGGGCTACGTGGGACTCAGTTAGGCCGAGCCGTATTCGTATCATCATTATCACCTGATATTGCATTGCAAGTTTATGACGATCTTGAAAATGCGATGCGTTCTTTAGCTCTAGATACCGAGCTTCATTTACTTTACTTGGTAATTTTCGAAGTCTTTATCGTTTTTCTTAAAAGCTGCCAATAATTCCAATAGCTCCTATTCGATAAATTGCGAAATATGAAATGATCAGTTTTCCGAATGTACGAGAATTTAGATGAAAGGGATTACCAATTATTTGAAAAGAAATCGGATATTGAATTTCTCCTACACTGTGAGATTTCAAGCTAATATATATATAAACACCAAGTTACAACACTATAATTTGAGGTTACGCCACTCCATAATGATTCCATCTGGATGAATTACATTGATTGGAATGTTTACTATAACATTTGGTCTAAATTACCTATCAAATTACAAAGAGTGGGTAAAATGATTGGTATTCGTGATAGTTTCATTCTTGGAAAGATTCAAGGCAGACAAGCGACTGAAATAGGAAGTATGCAGGTATTATTCAAAATTACTGATTTTAACAGCAGTTAATCTTATTTGCATATAATTCATTTATACTTGATATTATCTACACTGCAATAGGAATTTCGATCGATATAAAATATAGAGCATAAAAAGTTGAATTCGTTTCAATCGTTTCTTCAAAATTACTTGTTGCATATCGTATTGTCGTAACATTTTAGTTAGTCAATCATCTGCTTATTGTGATTATTATAATTTGTTTTTAATTTTTTGTACTAACAAATACGATATTATCTACCAACATATCATAATGTCTTCTATCACAATATTATTTTATTAACGATATGCTTATTGTTTATAAATTTATTTTTTCATAAATTTTGTAGATACATTTACGTTTTCTTTCTGCATTGGCACTTTTCGATTTAATAAGAGAAAGTCCACTGAGTGATGTTGCTCGACGTTTTCGTATCAATCGTGGAGCTTTGCAAACCTTACAACAGCAATCAGCAACATATGCCTGTAAATTTTTCAGAATTTAAAATTAAAATTTTTTTCGATACTTCGCATTTTGAATTTGTAATATATTTTTCAATCGATTTTTTCAATCTTTCCATGCAAACATATTTATACAAATTCCTCATTGATTAAACTGCTGATATGTACGATGAATGGAAATGGTAGATTGTAACAACAATATTAATTTAATAATAATAGGAGATTGAATAAGAATAAGAATAAGAGATGTTCTATTTTTTATGAATCAATTCAGATCGGATCAAATCAGATTATACTTTCTTACTTAATTAGATTATTTAATAGATATGAAAGAGAAAAATTAGTTTCTACGGCTTTTCTTTTATTAATCATTAATTTTGACACAAAACAGGTACTCAAGTACGGAAAATGAGGCGTTCAAGTGCCTTCATTAAAACGTCACCCGAATGAACCCGCAATAACATAAAACATACAACCTTACTAATTGCCTTTGTTATCGTCAATAATCGTTGCCTAACTTTCTCATTCTTTTTCTCCTCTTTTCATCATATCTATCATAAATAATTTTGTCAGAAATTTCACATCTCTCTAACTTTTAACTACCGTAATTCGGCCCCAATTTGGTTTAGTTAAAACGCAACTTTCCATACTAATTATTATCTTTCTCTTTCCATCTCTTTTCTTCCCATCAAAATTCCACTTTGTATTAGTATGGTAAAAGGAGAGATAAATTAGCTAAATTAGGGGATTTTATGTTTGTGAGGATTTTGCCATGAATTTCGAATGAGTAACATTAACAATTATGAATGATTAATAATGATAATAATTGCGATAGCATTACTAAAGAATATGAAATTTAAGAATGATAGCAATGATTTATTAATGTTTAAGTTACAGTAATAATGTGATAACAATAATAACAATATAATGATGATAGTTTTAATTAACCGTTTTCACTATTATTTACTCAGGATATTTTAACTTAATTTCTTATGCATAATAACACTTTAAAATATTCCAATTATCATTATTATCTCTTTCATTCTTTTTTCCTGAAATCAAATTATCTATAGATATGGTTGTAACATTTTGTGAAAAACTTGGTTGGATCTATTTACGAAGTGTATTAGATGGATTTTCCGAACGGTTAACATTTGGTGTTCGTAAAGATTTGACGGAATTGGTTCAAATTGAAGGAATTGACGGTACAAGAGCTCGAGCATTCCACAATGCTGATATTACAACAGTTCCTGCGTTAGCTATTACTTCAACTGACAATATTGTAAAAATTTTACGATCTGTGGTTCCTTATGTCAGGTTAGCATATTCGATTTAAGATTTAGTTTTATTAGATTGTGTTAGTAACTTTAACTACACTAAGCCAATAATGAAAAAATGTTGTAAATCTTGTAGAAAGGAAGGTAAAATACTAAAAAAATGGTTCACAAATAAGCTAAGGTATTATTATTAATAAGTGAGGCTTTGTAGGATGATAATTTACAATAAATAGTTTAGAAATCAATAAAGTATAAGGAGAAGGTATTAAACAGTATTGCATAAATAGTTGAGAAAAAGGATTTTAACGAAGATTCTTGACTGGAATGATATGATGCGAATCGTTTCGAAAAAATTCTGACAAAAGAATATTGCTAAAGTTGTATTAAAATTAAATCAATAAAATATCAAAACCATTGCTCATCCTATTTTACTTTTTCATCCTAGAGAAAGAAATAAATTAAAATTAATGCTTTCAATTCTTCTATAATTTATATTTCTTCGCTTATATAATTTTTCATTTCTTAAACATTTTAAATTTGTAAAATGTAAAATATCATTATTCATCTATAATATTTGTATTGATACATAAGATAAATAATCTTTTTGATCTGATCTGATTAACAAACTAATGAATTATTAGCGATCATGTATCATTTTTCTTTCTCTTCTTGTATATTTATTAGTGAGAAGAATAATGGAACCTAATTCTCTGAGAAATTAGAGAAAATCAAATGATGTACATCATCAACCATAGGTCAGATCCACCATAGATCCACCACCATAGGTCCATCAAAGATCCACTATAGGCCCACAATAAACTGAGCTTTTTCACTCATTTAACATTTACATATATAAACATTATAGATGATGAACAAACGATGTACATCAAATGATGTACATCAATATAAAAGATACATAAACATTCACAAATTGACAATCTTTTTAGCTGTCATCCATTTAATTAGTGGCAATTGGGGGAACAGTTTGGTATTGAGGTAGTAAAAAGAAGTCAATTTGAGATAATGGAAGAAAAGTGAAGAATGGATAGCAAGCAGTATGATAAACAGAGGCACCATACGTTTCAAGGCCATCATCATCCATCATATTTCAGACAAATGATTGAGATTATGTAGGAGGACAGATCTTTTGTTCAAAAAAATAATTATATCAAAATATTACGTAATCGATGATAAAGAATAGATACGATGATGAGATTAGTAAACTTGTAGATGAATAATTATAATGAATAAAATGAATGTTATTTAAATAATTAATTCTACTAATCGAATAACATTATATTAAAATATATTGGAAATGAATATAATTTCCATAGAAAATTTCAATTGAAAAATTACATAAATAATTATTGGAAATATATTTAATATTATATTATTAATGCAAAGATTATTTAAACTATCAAAGGAAGTATACAATGAAAATTTATGAAAGAGTAAAAATTAGATGAAATGTAGGATGAAATTGTTGTGATTTCTTGATATTCATTGAAATTTGTAAATTGTAATTTTGTTTTTATTATCAATTTTTAATTAATTACAGGCGTGATAATAATGAAGGATTGAATCGTTGGCTTGCTGGAGAAGGTTTAATGACAGACATTGAAGCGGCTCAAATATTAATTCAACGTGCCCGTCTATATCTTCAATCTTCTCTTAGGTTATCATTTTTTTTCTTTAGTATAAATTTTCTTTTACTCAAGCTAATTGAAATCTTGATTTCTACTATATCTGATCTTCCTAAACGTCCGGTATATTTGCGGATTGTTAATAGTTTAATATTATATCATAAATCGATCATAAATTTCCATCGAAGACTTGCAGCTTCAAAAGTTATTTCAACATATCCGTTAGTTGGTTCGACTTTTACTTGAATGCATCAATGCATAGTTTATGAAATTTTACTGAAGTATTTTGTTTTTTTTTTGTTTATTTTGGTAAATTAAGAAAGGGATAGGAAGGGTGGATCGAAATAATCAATTGAATTTAATTCACTTATAAAAATTAGAAGAAATTTCATTTCTCATAGAGATTAGATTGATGAAGTAAATATATTCTGTAATTCATTTTAAAAGGATTATTTGAACTAACTTAACGAAGCAAAAAGAAAGCAAATTAAATGATCTGAAAGTGATTCGAAATAGAATAGTGGATTATTATCAACTTTAATAAATTATGGAGTTGATTATTTCATTTATGGAGTTAATCAATATTAAAATATTACTGGTATTGGGTTCCACGAAATCTTACAAAATATTGTACTCTCGATACGGAGTAAAGAAGAGTCTGCTCATGAAATAATCGATATCGGGGACTTTTATTTAAATTGATAAGGCATTAGCTTGTGAACAATTCAGTTAGCACTCTGTCTAATTTGCCAATGAAATAAGTTTTCGGATATCTTCACCGAATATTCTCATGGATCATAATCATTTGTGGAATTGATCACTTGCGCTGATATCAGATGACGTGTTGTGATGGAAAATCGGAAGATCAAGACGTTATCATAATCTCATCATAATTCACTAATTCTATTTCAGAGCTGTCGGCATATTCTCGGACATCAAAATTGATTCTTTATTTTCCACGGTGACATCAATTTGTGAAACAACTAATCATGATGCCAGTAAATATGATAATAATATGGGTCCTAATTCTGTTCACTCAAATGTTGAAATTACTTCGTCTAATTTCTTTGTGGTTAGTAAATTCTTCTAGCGAAATATTAGAAGTTTAAATAATTTGACTTCTTCTGAGTTACTTTTTGGGTTTGTGAATGGTTAAGGTAAATAACTTTATTCAAATAAACTACTCAAATTTTATTCGAAAAACTTGAATCTTATAATCTTGATCTGTATATCGCAATACGTCTTCATTTATAATTTATGAACTTCTCCAACAGAAAATTCATAATTTTAATTGTATGAGCGCATAGTGCAACATCCATTGGTCTAACTGTGTCCTAATTGGATGAAATTACTAAAAAAAATTATGTGTAATTAATTGAGAGATAGATTGAAGTTTTCTTCTTTTCTTTTCCATCAATATATTGTCGTTTTGCAGCATGAAAATTTTCCGATCACAAACACCTCTAAAAATTCGAAAGAACAAAATACGGCAAGCACTCAAAGTTTAACCCAAACATCCGAAGTAATTGAAAAACGACCACCGAAAATGAAATTGCCAAAAAGTGATAACTCGGATGAGCTGAAGCAAGATGTTTTCCACGATCATTCAGCAACTAATGAAGAGAATTTAGATATTACGAATAAGTTGGACGCGGATAATGTTGAGGAATTATGCATGGATTTTGCCCATACTTCGATGTCGGATGAAACACTGTTACGTTTTGCCTGTAGTCAGTATTCCGGTAAATTTGATCAACTAACTCAAGCACTAGATGCTATTACTATTCTAGCTAGCAACGAAAAATTTGATGAAATTAATTCAAACGAACAGCAAGATGAACTTACTAATTTGGAAATATTTGAATCATTGGATATTTTTAATTCGAATTCTGTTAAAAATGAAACGGAAATGATTGCAACAGCGACAGCAACATCAATAGCTACTCTTGGAATGCAAAATGATAATGCACAAGAAGATGAAAAGAATTATTTTCTGAATTCTAAATTGAATAAATCATTCGTAAATCAATTTAGCGAATCGTTATCAACAGCTGAATGTGTGATGTCACAGCAGATAACTCTTGGAAGGATTAAAGAAGAAAAAGAAATTGTTGTAAATTCGGATGAAAGTATTAGCAATCGATCAATTTTTGATCATAGTAACGATTTGTTTGATCGAACATTTTGTTCATCAATTAGTTCACACTCATTTAATACACCACAAAATTCATCATATTGCATGAAACGTATCGATCGACGATCTTCAATTAATCAGTCTCCAAGATCACCAAGTTTCCAAAGCCCTTTACATAAAATATTGAAATTTGGATCACCTTTTGCTGGAAAAGAAATTAAACTCAATGAAAATATTAAAAACGATATTGAACATTTCGACAATAATCAAACAAAAACTGCCGAATTTCAAATTATAGATGTTTGCGGGTACATTTATTTGTTTGAAAAGCAAAAGTTGATGCCTTCATTAAATTAAATTTTAATAATCAACGTGTTATTTTAACAAGAAATTGATATAGCTATTTGCGAAAATTATATCATGCAAATTTTCAGATCTCGTACAGCATGGGAACAATTCTTGATACGGCAAAAATATTGGAGTCAAATTGGTTTAGGTGTTGCTATATGCAAGAGAGAAATAATTGGGATAACTTTATGTGCGTTAAATGAAGAATGTATTTATATTGATTTAAGGCGAAGTAAGTTGATTTCAATTTATATTATAGCAAGTCGAAATTTAATTTTGAAGTTTGAAGTTTTTTATACTGATTTCAAATAAAGATAAACAATTAATGATGAATATTGCAGCAAGTTTTTTCATCAAGTTAGTTATTGACAGCTTGATGAAACAATGTCTTGTCTGAATGCATAATTTTTTTTAATTGAATTATTTGATAATTCGTACATTTTATCAGTTATAATTATACTTTTTTTTCAGAGGGTATTTCTGAAATTGAAATTGAAATTGACGAACGATTAGAAGCATTGGATAATATACTAAAATCTAAACAGCAAAAATACATCTATGATTTACTATCATTTTCACGTTCATTACGATATCTTCAGGGTGCAGACTGCCCAGTTTCACTGTTTAATCACTGTATTTGTATACAAACGCTTTCATACTTAGCCCATTATCGTACAAATGATGATTTCGCACTACCGTTTGAGGTTTTTTTTCTCTTCGAAATTGTTATCAAATAATGATCGCTCAATTAATTGCCCTTTCAAAAGCCATTCTTTGGGTTTCTTCAACTTTTTCCGATCATTTCATAACATGTTAAGATCACTTCGTCCTCGATATGATGGAATAGAAAGTTATTTAAAAATTTATAGAAAACTAGGAATTGCTTAAATTTGCATTACATTATATGATTCTACCCTATACCTAAGCTTTTTGCTTTTTTCCAGGATTTAGTTTCACATCTTACTTCTCCGGAACGTGCAGCAATTTTGAGAAATGCTACACCACGATTGCGAGCAGCAATTAGCGCATTTATATGCTTGCATATGCATGATGATATGATGTCTGCTGCTATTCGATTGTCCTCTGCTAAATCTGTGGAATTGGAATTGCTATCAGTTGTTTTGTTCAGTGAAATAGAAACTACGGGTATATCTTTCGATGCGAATGAAGCTGAAACTCTGAATTCTAAGGTATTATAGGACTTTAATTCTTTGAATTTTTGATTTTTCAAGTTTTTTAGAGTTGTATTTCTTCGAACCAAAGAATAAACGAAAGTATTGCGTAATTTGGAAAAAGGATTATGCAAAATTTTTGTTAAACTATACTGATAATTTTAGCTTAAACGAAAATTGACGGAAATTGAAACAAATGCTTATGATATCGCGGGAATACCATTTAATTTTGGTTCAGCAGCAGAAATTTCTCAGGTATTGAGTGGCGTTCATTCTTTACAATGAAAATTTCTGGATTTAATTTATCATATAAAGCAAAAGTGGTTTTCTATATTTGGTATTAAATTTAAGCTTCAATTAGCTCTGCGAATATTAATGGATGAATGATGCATAAAAAGTGTGTAAGAATTTCTGAGTGATTTTGTATTAAGGTTCTTTTTGTGCGCATGCAAATTCCGCCACCGAATGCATCTACTGGTCGACATTATTCGACCAATAAAATTGCCTTGCAGCAGCTAGCTCCAAAGTATCCTCTCATAAATTTAATTTTGAAGTGGAGACAAGTGAATACCGCTTTAACGGTGAGTAAGAAGTAACTATATTATGGTAATCCATGGCACTATGAATTATCATAATATCTGATAACATTGTTAATTTTGCGTATGGCTTCATGTTATCAGCATTTTTGACTTTTGAGAAACTGAGGATATCAATTTCGTGAACATAATTTATTTTAAAGTTTCTTTAACTGTTATAAATATTTTTTCATTTTTATTCGCTATAACCATTTAGACATCTTTGCCAGCACTGTTAAAATCATGCTCTCCTGATGGACGAATTCGTTCTAATTTCATAATACATTGTTGCACTGGTCGTGTCTTAACAGCATATCCAAATGTGCAGAATGTGCAAAAAGATGCAATCATAGATGATTTTTCCATCCGATCACTGTTCATCGCTCCGGAAGGTTTGTAATCATTTCAAAAAATAATCGTTTCAAAAAGTAATTTGATTATATACGCAAGCATACATTGCTAAATATGCAAATGTGAGCATTTTACAAGAAATGTGGAGCTTACTGAGAAGTTAATCCATTTTTACTACAAAAGTTTCAAGTTTTTATTTAATTTAGAATCGGAAATCTGTCTTATTAAATGATAATTATGCGAGTTATTGTTTTTTTATAATTTCTCTAAATTAATTTAATTAATTAATTTAAGGTAGAATTCTATTATCGTCTGATTATCGACAGTTAGAAATTCGCATGTTAGCACATCTATCAGCCGATCCTCAACTCATATCACTGTTTTTAGCTGAGGGTGATTTTTTCGAAATTATTACGAATAGGTGGAATGCTAACGAAATGCTACATATTAAAGTAGATCGGGACAAAATAAAGAAGGTTATTAATCTTTTTATTGAAGTACATTTACACACTTTATCCTTCATCCAAATACATTTCAATCTGATATTTTAAGAAATTAAACTCTAAAAAAAAATAAAAAAATTAACATTAAATTTCTGAAAAATAAAAATGTTCTAGCTTAATTTTTCAGCTTTGTTACGGTATTATCTACGGTATGGGTGCCATATCACTGGGTAAGGAATTGGGTATACAAAAACAACATGCACAACAAATGATCGTATCTTTTTTCCAGCAATTTCCAAGTAAACTTTAGAAAATTATTTAATCGAATCGAAAGAAGCAATTTTTATCAGTCTTATTAATTTTATACAATAAAAGTGTATTATTATTATTATTATTATTAATAGAAAGTCATATTCAAAAGCATTATTTTTGCGTTGATGTGATTAGCTGTCTAAAATTAAAAAGTTCAGATAAAAAGATAACATTGAAACAAAAGTTGAAAATTTGCTACGTTTGTTGGAAACCGAAATAACTTCACAATAAACAATGTTTGTATTATAAGAATCTTTTGCCTCAAATATTCTAAGTCAAATGATTCGATATGTCTCTTTAAACTTAATTCATTATTCTAAAGAATACTGTAAATAATTAACATCAAATAACTTTTTATACCATCGACCTCATTACAACTTCAAGTAATTCTTTGTTAACCGTCAATTTTATTGCCTTCCTACAACAAACGAATGTTGTTTACAATTGTTTACTACATGTTGTCTACTCATGTTTACTACTAGTTTCATTTTGTTAAAGGAGATTTTTGTTACGATTAGTTCTTTGTATAGGATGACCTTATGACCTTTTTTATGTCGTTAGTTCGTCTAGAAGATGACTAATTGACTATTTACTATAAACAGTATTCACCGATCACCGCCCAACTGGAAAAGAGTTTATTCCAGAATAATTTACTACTGGAAAAGAGTTTATTCCAGAATAATTTACTACTGGAAAAGAGTTTATTCCAGAATAATTTACTACTCCCAAATCAAGCAGTCTAATCATTCTGTCGGATTACTGTTTTATAACATCAGGAAGAATAAACTCATCTTCCAAGAATAAACCTCTCCAGTAGTCTTTGTCTGCGAAACAACAAACTTCCCAAGTCAAAAACTTTGACGACACTTTCTTACCAGTTTACTTTTACTTTATATTCTATATAAGAGTTATAACTGCGATAATGATTACTATTACAAATGATAACGATAAAGCTTTCTGTGAGTGTTTTTTTTTACAGAAGTGCGAACATGGATGGATAAAATATTAGCATTATGCCGGGCTAACGGATTTGTGAGTACCATGTTAGGTCGTCGACGATTTTTACCTCATATAACCGGTATGGTACAAGCACAATCAGCTCAAGCTGAACGACAAGCTATCAATACTTGTATACAGGCAGGTGTTACATATATTTAACTTTCTATAAATTAGTATTTCTAATCTGATTTTAATGGAACTTAATATAGCACAGTTACTCGAGAGCTAAAGCATTGCGATGGATATAACATGGTTCTAATCGTGAAATTATTTTATTTTATCCATCTGCTCGATTGAATAATCCGAAATGTAAGAAGGACTTTATAGCATAACTGATAATAAAAGTTCTTGAACTGAAATATCATCTCGGTATGCTTTAGGATAATCGAGTGTTGATCAGCCTTATTCAATTCTTAGTACAATTGAAAAAGATTGATCAATACTCAAATAAGATTTGGCTTTTGGTACCCTTTTGAGGCATTGAATTGCTGAGAGGAAATTAATGGATGAAGTTCTAGATTAAATTGATAAAATATTTTATCATTTCTTCTTAAATATGCCTTATAAATTTTTTTTGACACGCTAATAAAAATATAATCTTATTAAAAAAGTAGTTGGAAAGTGGAATATTTTAGAACAAGATCGGTAGCAGTTATTTAATCAATCAGATAGCAGTTATTTAATCAATCAATTTAATCAATGACACATACAACTGAGATATTTAAATATTTTCAAGTATCGAACTTGCTTAATATATATTCTGTTTACACTATAAATATTGTGTACGATCATTTCTGTCTATTCTAAGTACCATACGGAGAATTTCGTCAATTTTTTGACAATAAGACTATTTTGTAAATTGTTAAACACATCTTGCAGGGTTCGGCAGCCGAACTATTCAAAATGGCGTTGTTGAATTTACAGAAGAATTTACTAGGCCAGTTTTTTCCTTCTTTTTGAGGTTGATGTGTTTTTAGTAAGGAAAACAGAAGTGGGAAATTGGAAAATCTGATCTGATGTAGAAGATAGTCCTATGAATGTGCTCGATGTATATGTTAACATACCAATAATGCCAACAGCATTAACCTTAAAGATCTGATTGGTCTCTTTGAATATAGAATGCTTGAAAATTTCTAAATAGATTATAGATTGCTATATATTTACATTTTAGGCACTAATTCATTTATCGTCATGCAAATGCACGATGAAATATTGGTGGAAACGGATGAAAGTTCAGTAGCTTCAATTGTTAAAATTATCAAACATTCCATGATATCAGTTATTCCAAATTTGCGAGTTCCATTAGCAGTTAAGGTTTCATTTGGAAAAAGTTGGGGGGAATTTCAGGAATATGCTGAAACTAAAACTTGAAGATTTTCATCAGTTGTGGGCTACTAGGCAATCGCCATTCCCAAAATTTTCGTTTTAGTTTCTAACCCAATTTCCCATCTGTCTTTCTGTTATTGAGATTATTTCGTGAAGTGTTATTCAAACCCCGTTTTACTGATTGGTGTCTATATTGCAATCTCATTTATTCCCAAAAATGAAACAATTTCCGACATTTAACTGTTTAGGATTTTTTACGATATGTTACAACTGTCTTTCCATTTGCAACATTTCACAATGACGGGTTATACACCTCTACATATAGCATTGCTATAAAACATAGAACATAGATCTTACCGGAAAGAAATTAGTACTTTTTTCCACTAAAAAAATTTTCCTTTTTGAAAGTAAATTCCGGGCAGGAAATTTTATTGATCAGATAATACCATTATCTATAACTTTTATTATATTATTTGGTCTTTATTTTGATTTGCTTAGCTTATTCCTATCGATTCGTTAATTCAATTAGTTTATACTTGTCGGACTGTCAATTTGCACGTATCTGATTGTTAATAACATACAATTTATACTTAACGGATTATCAGTAATATGTAACTTGTAGTTAACTGATTTTCAATGATAGTTTGTGCATATCTCATATCTCGTCAGTGATGTTTAGTTTCAGCTTATTCAATTTTTTATGATACGTATTTTGTGTTTCACCAATTATCATTGATATTTAATTTGCATTTATCCGATCTCAATTACATTAGTTGTTGCAGAACATAATGTAATCATAGAAAGACACTTATTAACTGTGCACTTACTTATTCCATATTATAAGTGCTATTATAACTGAATATCATTGGACTTGCTACATTTCCATTTGATATTATAAAATATCCATATACGACACTTGTAAAACTTTCGGGATAAAACATTATTTATGATATGGATTAAATGATATAAATGTTGGCTATAGATCATTCTCTGTAAATGTATGATATATCTGAAATGTTAGAATAGGTAATTGAATAAATGATGATCGAAGAGATAGATCCATTACAAATGAAGTAATAACAGATTGCTAAAAAATGAGTGGAGTTCGATTACAACACAAAGAGAGGGAAATACTATTGCAGAGGTTTCAAGGGAATGGTACTCAATGAAATGGAAAAAGTACGAATACAACACAGAAATTGTATTCGTGTTCCATCTGCTTCATTAAGCATATCAATTAAGAAAGTTAATAGTTATAATAACAATTGAGAAAATGAATTATTACAATGAAATTATTACGCGTATATTATCAAAATATTTCACCCGACAATTAAAGTTTGAAAAGATTATGATCTAAATGATTGACAGTGATGATGGATGAAAAGAAAATAAATAGCATAGAAAATAAACAGGAATGATAATTTTATATAAGACGAAGATTTGAAATTTGTTACTTTCCCACAATAAGTAAAGGAAAAGAAAGAGAGAATTAGAATATTTTAATATAAAGAAACAGGAGGGATAAAATAATTTAGCATTGGAGAAACTACGGCATAAATAAGTGACAGAAAATAAGTAATTATGCTGACCTTACACAAAGACGCAAATTTTTTAGAGTAGTTACATTTTTCAGAGTTTCAGAGTAGTTACTCTTGTCTTATAGAAAAAATTAAATTTCGGCAATTCAACCATTAAGTCGATTTCATCACATGACTACAACTATCCTATATCGAGACACATTTAAGAAAGTTTCGGAAATTAGAGAATCCAATGCGACGACCTAAACCCAACACAGAAAAAAACAGAATGCAACGCCGGCTCTATTAACCAACTCAGAGAGCGTGCTGTTGATATCCAACGGACCGTCGTGGCCTTATAAAATTTGATACCTTAAAAGGGTTTACGAGATGTGCTTTGTTATAATTGTGTATTTTGGATTAGGTGTTGTGATTAATAAATGGTGATGGTGCATTTCTTTTCCGGCATGGTGGTTCTTCGAACTCTAGAATAACCGACTGATATTTGGGTGGTAGTTCGGACCAGTAGAATAACCGCGTGATATTTCAAAACAATGGAATAAGCTTGCTAAGACTTATTACCTTGAAAATGTAACTCATCAAACGGTTATCAAGATGTTTCTTGGTGCGACATTTAATTCCACTATATTCTAGCATTTTCATCTAAAGAGGATGCCTAGCAAAGCGATAAAAAGATAGTTGGTATCAAGTATTTGTATCAAAATGAATCGATTAATCTTATTTGGAAGTGTTCAGCACGATACGATTTATTATTTCGCGAATTTGCTGTCATTACAAGGTTTTTGGAATACCCAAATTTCAAACTGGAAAAGTGATAATGTCTGTTGCGAATCGTTTACGACGAATGCATAAGCAACCACCAGAGGGATGGGATTTGATTGAACCAACATTGGATGAATTCGAAGCGAAGATGCGTGAAGCCGAAACAGATCCTCATGAAGGGAAACGTAAGACAGAAACCCTTTGGCCTATTTTCAAGGTTAGTATTCTATGTTTTGAAAAAGAGAAACGAACAAGAAATTGGAAGGAAGAGGAGTGTATCATTGGTATAATTCCAATACGTGATTAAATGATGTACTTATATGGTGCACTTGGTTAATGCTTATATGATGGTATGTAAATTAGATGATATTCATATGATGGCATTTATATGGCAAAATTAATTACTTTTCTTTGGTCTTTTTTCAGATACATCATCAACGTTCGAGGTATATTTATGATTTATACTACAAACGCCAAGTAATCAGTAGGGAATTATATCAGTTTTGTTTGGATACCAAATTGGCTGATGAGAAATTGATAGCGAAATGGAAGAAACAAGGATATGAGAATTTATGTTGTTTACGGTGTATCCAAACGAGGGATACTAATTTTGGCACCAACTGTATATGTCGTGTACCGAAGAGTAAATTAGATGTGGTTGGTGGTTTTGTTATTTTTCTTTCCAAATCTATTTAAACACGAGAAAAATTTTTTATTCTTATCATTTTCCTTTTTTTCTTTATTTTTTTTTCAAATCTTTTAAAAACACGAAAGAAAAAACATACCAATTGGTCTGTTTGCAGATTGAATAGTGTATTGACTGGAAATGTAGAAAATTTTGATAATGCACTTGCAAGGGTTTCAGTGGTTCCATTCCACACAGTGGGTTAGAAACAGCTAAAAATGTTTAATAGTTTGCTCCTCAATTTTTGAAACCGACGGGGAGAGAGAGGGAGCAGTATGTTTTAATTTTGGATTATAAAAAAATTCGATATATCGTACAATCTAACTATTGTATATTCCCGTTATGATTTTTTATAACAATACGCGGAACCGTAAGTGCAGAGTGATATATATATATATATATATATATATATACGTTGTTTCGTTCAGAAATATAGTGGAAAGTTATGGCACATAGTTCAGTTCGATAATTGGTTGTTGTATCATCATGACTACTTATTTTTTCGAACGAAGAGATTTTTTGACATTCAGGCTGGAGAAAAATAATAGTGAAATATCGTAAATATGGAAGCGAAGATTAAATGCGAAATGTGCTGAGCCAAAGGATAAAATTAACTAATGCTATTTTCAGGGCCGCGTGGTGGAATGCGTACATTGTGGATGTCGAGGATGTTCGGGATGATTGAAAAGTTTGAACTTGAGTTTCTTCAATTTCTTCAACTTCAGATAACTAACCAATGTTTATGAGTTATTATTCTATATACATTTTAAGAAAAAAAGCAAATGTTGTAATTGCGGTTATTTATGTGCGCAGGTGAAATTACTTACAATTAGTTATAAGTGAAAAAACTGAAAAATAGCTGGATCTTTAAAACAGCTGGACGAGATAGAATCTTTTGATGAACTGGGTGTCCTTTGAGAAATTTTATAAGAATATAATTTACTCTTTGATGATTATGGTTTTTTGTTTCGATTTATAAATCTGTGAACTTTTTACTGGAGAGAAGTCTTTTATCGGCTTTCCACCGGTTATATGTGAAGTTATATTTTTTGAAGATAAATAGAAACTATTATGCCTAGAAAACACAGCTGAATTTAAATGAAAAAATGGGAGGAACACGTTCACTAGACAAAAAGGAATCATTTATCTAAAAAAATGATTCTGTTCCAAAAATTTTGAAAATTTTTGTTGAGTAAATTATACTTGACTCAAAGTTTTTTCAAGGAAACCAGGAAGCAATTTGTGTTATTACTAATCGTACAAGTTTTCATGTAATTGCTACTTGAAATAAGTCAGCTTTTTCATGTGTTTCTAAGTTATCTCTCAGTTCTCATGAAAGGAGAAGCCTTAGTTAACCGTACGATTATCGCTTATTTGTTCCTTTAATTAAATTTATCATATGACCTGCTAAAAAACATCTTTTGATCCAATACGTCTTTATACAGAACAAGATGAAAGTTAATAATAATAGTAATTATGAAACATCGAGATATGCTGATACGATCACTACTTTCGAATCTACGGGACCCATCAATATTGGGAAGAGATGATGAAAGTCATCCCGTAAAAGCCAAATCATCAACATATTTATCCTTGATGTCGTTCCATAACTTTCCTTTGTTGTACTGGAAAGTAAATTCTACAGCATCGAATGGATTGTTTATATAGATTTTTATATAATGGTCGTAATTGATAAAAAAGATTTAGTGTATTTTTAGTTAGGAAAAGATAGAAACCATCTAATGAAATTGTACCGCTGCAAAGAGTTGTGGAGTTTTATATTTATATTGTAGAAACTTTCACCGTTCTCAAATCCCCTACATAACGTAATAATGACTGTAATTGATAAAATTACTGTTAAGATTACTCGATTGAAGAGATAGTCACCACCCTTATCAACGATCAAATCTGTTGCAATCGCCCCAACAGTTAGTGCCACAAAAAGTGTTGAAAAACGTTTCGTGATAAATCTGTACGCATAACTTGCGAGAGCCATTCAGTAATCCTGAAAATAAATCATTTGCAAATCACCTCATTAGGAAATTTACTCCGTCAAATACGATTTATCTCATTCGGAAATTCAATAAGATTTATAACAAAAAAAGAAAAGACTGTAAATTAAGGACATTAAAGGAAGGCTGACAAGAGGATCTCCAAACATCATTGCAGTTAAGAAAATATAATGAAATTAAGTGATGCTGCAGTAGTCAAATTGAGGGAAAGCGATGCAGAGAAATTCCAAAGGGATTAAATTTTAACAATTTAGAGCTAGCGACTGCGGAAAAGCAGCAATTATCCCAAGACAAGCGGAGCACTTGGTGTACTATCAAGGAGTATTATACAGCACTTAAATATCCTTGGAAGGAAATAAATGTAGAAAACGAGTTTTCCATATATATTAAGGAAATATCCTATCGATTTTTTGACTCCCTGAGAAATTTTCTGCAAGTTACATTACAAATTCTGGAAATTTACCTCGATGAATTTAAGAGTTTAAGCTAATATTACGCCAATTCTTGGGTTTCAGTTGAATTTTCTTACAAGTTTACAAGTTCTAAATTATTGATTTTCTTCTTGGTCCTAAAAGAGAAATAAAACTTCGTAGAGGATATATTTTGCCTATAAGTTTGATAACAGCTATGCGGCGTATTCATTTGATATGCAATCATTCGTATTGCATTTTGGGTATTCATATCCTAAATATACACATTTATAACGAAGAAATTCTTCACGCAGAAAGTAACATACTGTAATAAACGGCATTTCCATCCCTTTCCGGAATGCTAGACAATCCAGTACACTTAACTTTCCAATAATATTGCTTTTCTATAAGCCGAACAAGTGAATCATGGAGATTTGTTCATTGATTCAAAGTGTATGCGTTAACATATATGCAATTTCATACACAAAAAAAGCAGAAATTAATGGTTTCCAAAAAAGCAAATTCCAAATGGGAAAAGGAACTATGATACAATCCGGATTTGACAACAATGAAACGAGGAATGTAACAACATCACTTCCACCTTATACCGCATCGATCCAAGCAATTATAATCATAACGTGGGATACGGCTCAATTTCAACGGACCATCTTGGTCCATTAAATTTTAACACTTTGGGAATATCAAAGAAGTCGCATAGGGCTAAGTGTCGCTGCGGTGAGAGGGGGAGGTAGTTGAAAGGTTGTAAATTCCTTAGATTCTATTGGGTATTGTTTGGTGGGTTTGTATTTCATGTTTTTATGATGTACATAACTTTATGGTATTAAGAATCGATAAGGTATCATAACTTTTGTTGGCAGTAATTGAGTTTTGTTTTTTATAAGTATAAAAGCTACTTTTACGACAAGTTGATGTTATTTATGTATATATGGAATCTTTTTACTTGTTTCCGTTCAGAATTATTTGTCTACATCTCATTTGAAAGCAAAAGCTATTTGGTAATGAGGGATGTACTTTTAATGATATTTCAGGCATACGTCATCAGAAATGGTGAATCCAAAAGGTATTCGGCGTGGTACACGCTATATGTTTGCTAGAGCATTTCGAAAACATGGACTTGAACCGTTGTCAACATTTTATCGGACTTATAGACGTGGTGACATTGTTGATATCAAAGGAAACGGTGCTTTTCAGAAGGGTATGCCTTTCAAGGCATATCATGGACGGACTGGGCGTGTTTTTAATGTCACCAAACACGCTGTAGGAGTTCTGGTCAACAAACGTGTTAGGTCATTTTTTGCGTTTCCATCTAATTTCAAGATATTCTCTGTTTCCAGACTCGAAATATGTCTACAATTACTAACGATTATATATCGAAAATATCATATCGTTTTTTTTTTCAATGCTATGATTTTTGCTGCTCTTTGTTCTTTCACTTCCTTTTTCCCTCTAAAGAATAACGTATTAAGTATAAATAGGTTGCCACGCTCAAAAATTTTAGACAATTCCTCATGTCATAAAGAGCAGTCATGAGATACCCAAAAATTGTAGCAGAGGAAGAGTTGATCCAATTTGGAGTGCTGGGGAAGGTTTCTAATTTAAAAAATATGGTGTATTTCTTTTATTTTTCCTTTTAAAATTCGAAAAATTTTTTTCTAGGAATCGCATTATACAAAAGCGTATTAATGTTCGTATTGAGCATGTAAGACCGTCGAAATGTCGTCAGGATTTTTTGAATCGAGTTAAGGAAAATGAGGAAAAGAAGAAACTCGCACGAGAGACTGGTCAAATGGTACCTATCAGAAGAATGGTTAGTAGCTTTCATTTTTTTAATTTTAAATTCAAGATCAAATTTGAGAGAAGAAGAGGTGATTCTGATAGAACCTTAATTTGAGAAAACTAAAAGAAGCTTAGCCGATGAAGGACGATGAACAGATATATAAGAATGCGTTGTTTCTGTTGTTTTTTCGATTTTTTTCCAACCATGTTTCTTATTCATCCCTTTATCTGCTCTGTTTATTTTCCAAGTTCCCATGTTTTTCTTTTTTGGATTTTATCGACTTTGATTGTACGGTTAAGCACATTCTTTTCATCTTTTTATCATTTTTAATCATATAAATAGATAACTTGATCGATTTCAGCCAGAGGAACCGAGGAAAGCTCATTTGGTCAAGACACGTTCCAATAAACCGCAACTGCTTTTTCCAGTCAAATTTGAAATTATCGCCTAAGGAATCATTCATCTTTTCATGTTTGTTATAATGGCATTGGAATAAAGCTGTTGTTTTTTCTTTTATATCAAACATTGTGAGTTATTTGCGTATCAGTTCGCACTTGCATTCATATAATCAAGAAGTCAAATTCTAAGCTTTGACATTACAAAGATAATGTATAAGTAAGAGAAGGAATTTGTATCGGAAGCAAGATTAATTTCGGTATGTTAGCGTACAGATTACTTTGTTTTACATGTGTAAGATTGATGGAAAGCGGTGAGTTTGTTCTGTGAGTGATTTCTGATGCGACTTTCTTTATCTGTACGAGAACCAGAGTTGGTGGGATTGGGCATGCCGAATTGCAATAGAGAAGCCAAGATTTAAAAAGGCTTTAACTTCTAATACATAAACTGCATGAAGTTGCCAATTAGTTTTCGTTGGTCCACATTTTGTATGTGCCCATTCTATTTTGACTCATCTAGTAAATTCTGGATAATTTCTAATCAGTGCTGATTTCGTTACCTTTATCTTTCATCCGTGTACTATTTATTAAAACAAGTTTTTTCTCTCAAATGGTGATTTGGTGTTGAATTGTTTTTTAAAACCAGAGAATATAGCAATGGGTGATCGTAACGTGGAGAAATTAGTACGGAAATATATTGATAAACGGGATGACAAACTTGTCGATATTGTGGAGCGATGTTTGCGAAAAGGTTATGACTATGAAAAGATGAGGGATCGTGTCAGTGATCATGTCCGAGATTCAACCGCACGGAAGCGTTTAATCGATGCACTTTCTGATGCATTTCCACAGTTTGCCCGAAGACGGAAACACCGGGTATGTATTTTTATTGCTTTATTTGGCATTCTCCTGCAAGTTGAGATGAGTTCAGATTCTAAGCAATATTTTTGTTTATGATCAGTTTTCGCATTACCATTTTTTTAATATAGTACGGTTTTGATCATTCGATGTCAAAAGAATTTTCATCATTAATTCTTAAAACGATGAAATTTCATAAATTTCAGTTCGAGGAAACGAAAGATGCTAAAGAAGACGGGTCACTAAAAAAATTTAAACCTAGAGAACGATCAGATTCTAATCCAACACGAACTACCCCAGCCATCGCTAAACCGATATTGTCGGGTGTTTCTCTTACCAAGGCAGAGCCACAGCAATCAGATGAAGTTACGGAAGAAGTAAGTTTTATATGGAGAAATTGATTTCAAAAATTGGAAGGATTACATAGCAAGTACTTCTAATCGATTTGTTCCATAAAAACTCGTGATTCCTTGCAGAAAATAGGCTCTTAATATCTTTATTTAACCTGTTTTTGGTTGATTTATGATTGATTTTCGCTTATGAAAGACGCAAATAAAAACTGAAACGCAGTGATTTATATGGATATATATTCTGATCTTTTTAGTCACTGTGTTGTGAAAATTTTTTGTGGAGCTGAATTTTGTTGCAGTGTTAGGATTATTGCTCGTTTCGAAATGCACAGCACCATCGTTTCGAAATGTACGAGTTTACATGTTCCACTTTTAGGAGCTCAAAAGTAAGGAATTAATGTATCAAGCTCAAATGGCAATTGAGGAGCGAAAGCGGCAGTTGAATCTAACAGCAAGACCTGGCATCGTAGCGCAAGCTGTAATTTCGAAGGCATCAAAATTGAATACGAAGGAAGCTAGCATGTTTATGAATTACTCGATGGAAAAAATCAATAGGTTCGATAGTTTTTTCGTTTTTTTTCTATTTTCTTTTGTAGAAGTTTAAAGTTGTACGACATTTCTAATTTCGTGTAAGTCCATGTTTCTCCAGGGTCAAAGAACTGAAAGAAAAATTAGCACAACGAACGGCAACAGTTGCACAACTTATCGGAAAGGATGTAGGCACTGGAGCACTTTCAAAAGCAAAACCAGTCGATGAACCGGAACAGAGAGTTGTCGAGTATTTAGATCCACGTATCAAGTTAATATTTAATATTTGATGAATATCTAAATATGTAAATTGTAACTAATATAGCAGTCTTAGAAGTGAAATTGTATCAATGGCTTAATTAAACATAAATTCCAATCTCGTTGGATCAATTTCTAACATGACCGTAGCTGAATCCAATTTTTTCAGTTTAAAATCTGCTCAGCGGAAACAGCGTGCAATTGTTTTCCATGATAAAGGCGAATTTGAGAAATTAGCACAACGTGAGCGAGCCAAAGCTCGTTTAACAATTTTGCAAGCTGAAATCACTCAAATAGCCAAGAAGACAGGGATGTCATCTTCAGTAAAACTGGCTATGCTAACTCCATCATCATCTGCGGTATGTTAACAGCATTACTTGTTAATTCTCTTTGAAAATAGGAAAGAGGGGAAATGATACATTGTTCTTCTTGAGTGTAATAATCAGGACGATTGGCACACATCTCTTGTGCTTCTAGTTTGACTAATTAATTTTTCAGGTGAGTGATGTTCCGGTCGTAGAATGGTGGGACGAAGTTGTATTAGGTGGTGGTTATGACATGATACCTGATGAAAACATTGATTCCGACGGTAAGTATGTGAAAACAATCACAAACCTGGTGGAACATCCTATCCAACTCAAACCTCCTGATGAGCCTCTTCAACCGCAGTATCTGAAGGCAAGTTTTTACTGCTCTTTATGGATGAAATGTTTTTCTTATAAATTCTTTTTTTTCGTGTGCTTTTGTTTGCATTTAAAAACTCTTTTGATAAAGGTTTACTTGACAAGTCGAGAACGGAAAAAAATCCGACGACAGAACAGAAAAGAAGCACAAAAGGAACAGACGGAGAAAATAAGGTTTGTCTGTTAAGAATCTTTATTTTTCAGGAACTGTTGATAATTCTTATCGTTTTGTTTCGGATTTTGACAAATGATCCCTTTTTCTTTTGAAAGGATCTTCAAAATGAATTTTTCTCTTCAGGTTAGGTTTAATCAAAGCTCCAGAACCGAAAGTTAAATTATCAAATTTGATGAGGGTGCTAGGTTCGGATGCTGTTCAGGATCCGACTAAAGTTGAAGCTCATGTGCGTAAACAAATGGCTGACAGACAGCGTAAGCATGAAGCGGCAAATCAACAAAGAAAGCTCACTAAAGAGCAACGATCGGAAAAGAAAATCCGAAAAATCAAGGAAGACACTTCGTTGGCAGTTTATATGACAGTTTATAAGTAAATTTTTAATTATTTGAAATTTATTTAATTATAATTAGAAACACCAATTCTTTAGGAGGTGGAATTTCAAATTCGATGAATTAAACTATGATTTTTTTTTAAACAACTAAGTTAAACATTGTGAAAATCTTGCTATAGGCGGAAGAGCAAATAAGTAGTTCATCGTTATGTCGTTCCAGGATTAAATCTTTGGCTCACCCTGCGAAGAAGTTTAAAGTTGAGATGAATGCCAAACAACTACACATGACTGGTTTGATTCTGCTGCACAGTAATATCAATCTTGTAATTGTTGAAGGCGGTACGTTTGAAATTCATTTAATTTTATCTATTGGATTCGCAACTGGTCTTAATCCTACTAGAGATTAGTGAGGAGTCATGTTGCTTTTTTATTTTAGGACCAAAACAACAGAAAGCATTCAAGAATTTGATGTTGAATCGGATCAAGTGGGGGGATGAAATCATTGGCCAAAAAAAAGAAGCAGAAAACAAAGATACGCCTGGTGAAAGAAATGATTGTTCTCTGGTTGGTGAAGTTTTCATTAGGATGAAAATTATGAGTTCAGAACGTAGGATGAAACTTAATGAACCAAGGAAGATTACTGAGAATGTTGAGATAAGAGTAAAACTGAGTTAAACGACGAAAAAAAGCTGTTTTTAAACTTTATTTTTTAGACGTTTTTAGACTCAACATTCTCAGTTTATGGATTTCGCAGTAATAGGATCAAGTTTCTAGTTTTTTTCTACTCTTAGGATTGCAATATTTGAAGAAACTGCGGAGATCGCCAGTTTCTTCATAGGCTTTCATTTTCTCTTGAAAGAATCGCTTTAAATAGCAAATTGAATTCTTTATAGGCTCTATCAGATATTTTTAAATAATAGGACAAAGTAGAGCGCAAGTATTGCACTTTTATTTATTTTCCGAGTTTTTAAATTTTAGATTTGGGAAGGTATTCAGAAACGGCGAAATTTTGGTGAAATGAGATGTATGGTTGCAACATTAGAGAAGCAAGCAAGAGAAATTTTGGAAAAACATGGAGTGGCACACTTCTGGGATCTCGCTTACAGTACTTCAATTTTGGCTGATGAAACCAGCGCTTAGGTGCTAAATTTTACGCATACTGTTGATGTTTGAAAATTGCACAATTTGAATTTCAGGTATATCTATAATGAGAAGACCAGGAGGTCGAGTCATTACTGCGGTTTGTTTTAGGATCACAAGATTTAAAAGATATTCTTTGTTTCTATGTAAAATAAGCATTATGTAAACTATCCATTTGGTTTTTTTCTATATACTAAATTGATTTCATTTTTCTCTCTTTTTCTTTTGTATTTAGTGTTTAGGTTTGTTAAGTTCAAATTGTTTTAGCTTGACACAGAATTGCAGCCCGTAAATTACAGTCTATATTAAGCAATGATTGGTCGAACAATAAATTATTCCGTGAATTTTCTATATATCATTCGTATGTGTTGTTTATGAACTCTTATTCTTTCATTTCAAAAGAATTCATAAAAACAGTAATTTCTGTCGAACGTTCCGATTTACATCTCAGAGATTCTTTGTTCTATAATAAAACATTTATTCTGCCTAACATTTTCATACGGTTTTCAAATAAATAATTTCGTCCAATTTTGCTTTGCACAGCTTTTCGCCTATAGGAGTCGATGAATTGTTCTCAGTTTCGTCTGCATGAACTTTGGATGTGTTCCATGGGAATCACTTTACATAAACGATCGGCTAATGAATTATGACTCTTTAGTATCTTGCTTCTATTTTCAGGGTGGAGTAGTGCCTTTACCTGTTGTTCATTAATTTGGAAATTCCAAAAATGTTGGTGATGATGACTTATCCTGAAGTTCCATTCAGCTTGTGCAATTAAAAAAGTAGGGTCAAGCTATATCCTTACCTAGATTACCATATGTCGTACCTTAAATTAGGATTGCAAATAAGGAGCATTTCAGCGGGAATCCTTTATTATGTATAAAGAGCGACATTTCGTCTAATGTAGTTATAAAAAGCATTGGTTACTCAAAATTTGTTGAAATTTTAGACAGCAATGAAAGATAAAATTGGCATGACAGATATGTTGCATGAGAAAGTGCGACAAATGGATGCCGAAGTGGAGAAAATGAGTAAAGTGCTTCAGGCAAAGGAAGCTGTTTTAGAGGATGTACTTTGTGCCATAAATCAGCTTCCGAAACATCCGGTTAACACGATCTTGATCCGAGTAAGCGTTTTTATTTATGCGATAGACATGAATAGGGCGTTTGTATTGATTAGTTCAATTTTACAAATGCTTTTTAAGAATCTCATCCCCTTGACTTGTAAATATATTTAACCAAATCTGGCAAAATGTATCTCTTATTGGGGTATGTTGAGATCCAGGCTTACAATTTGAATTTGATTTGATATTTTTATCAAAATAGTGAAATTGATTGAAATTTCAATCATAAATGCTTTTTATTGATTTGAAATTTCAATCAAAAATACTTTTTGTTGATTTGAAATTTCAATCAAAAATGTTTTTTGTTACGCATTTATCTCCATTCAGAATATCTTGAAGTCAGAAGTGAAGCAATTAGAAAGTTGTACTTTGAGCGATTTCAAATGTTACATTATTTGGAGTGCATTGTTGCTAGAAAATATTTGCATCGCCATTAAAGTGGAAAATGATACACAATATACTATGTTAGTCTTTTTAGTTTTAGTTTAAAATATTTATTAGCTAACTTACCAAGGAAATTATTGATTTGATAAACTTTCAGAAGAAAATATAATTAATTTAACGATTCAGGCTTTGTTATGTCTCAAACTATTCTGCATCTTTCATCCGATAAAAATTTTAAAAAAGTTGTGTTTGAAATTGTAGTTATCAACTTTTTGGCAAACAATTTTAATCAATAATTCATAAGTAACGATGAATTTATTTATTATGTAATTATTTTGCAAACTATTTCTTTGTCTTTAATTTATATTTCGCATTAGAATTATTTTGACAGCATATGTTCCTTATTCCTTCTATTTTTCTTTTAATCTTTCTTTTTGGAACTTTTCATTGCATGAAGCAACTGATCATGTCGATGATCGTTATCAGTAATTATAATTATACTATTAAAATGAAGTGTGGAAGAAAAAATTTGAAGATTTCACATTATTGTGATACAGGCATTTCAAATCTGAAAATTTTCATGATTTGTTAGTAGTTTTTTGTTAAATTTTGATTATATTTGAAAAATTACTGAAATTTTATCTTTTCTAGAGTTTTATTTTAGATTACCTGCATGTGCTGCTCTTTGCAACTGTGACCTGTCTGATACAACGACTGTCATTTTTGATGATTTACTAACAAACCAGTACATTCCGTAAGTATATTTCAAAATTATATTCTAACAACAATAAAATTATGTTCTAACAACAACAGTAAAATTATTTATTTAATTCTGAAGCCTTCGGTAAAAGTTGCAGAAAAAGTTGAGACGAAAACTTCATTAATCTAGTATTCGATGCAGATTTTAAAGAAAACGCGTTACTCTTAGGTGCCCGTTAAACACTTGCAAAAAATATGTTTATGCTAATTGTGTTAGAACATAGTTGTGTGAAACGTATTTCGCACAATTCATAATGATTTTAGTGATGCGAAATCAGTTTATTCCCTCAAGTTTCGGTTTCATTCTAAGAAGTTTAATAATTTGAGATTTTTGTCAAAATAAACTGTCTATTTTATAGCTGAATAATTTGTAACTTTCAGGCACGAAATAATTCTTGTATCTTGTCATATCATGTTAAATAAATAAATATGAACTTTTAATATTTAAATAGCTACCGCTAAATTTTTCATAATGAATCTTTTAGAACTCCTCAAGTTGAGTGGTAAATTGGGTATTTGGGCGATACGATCATTTTTGCATAATTTTAGGCCTCAAAGTAAGCGAACATTATTGGTTAGTTTTCGAAAAGGACTTTTGCTTAGCAAGCAAGTAATACTTGCATTAGATTGTGATTTTGTAATCGTATCAAATTCATGCTCGGACTTGGCCATATCATCGTTTCTTCCATCAAACATTCACAGCAAACAAACTCGGATTATGAGTATTCTTGATCTTAACGAGCCATTAAAAAAGTATTCGTTGTCTGAAATCGATGATCTCTCTTTAAAAGGTTTTTTTTTATTTTAACCTTTATTGCCTTAATATAAGTTTTAGAGCTAAAGTTTCTATTTGTTTACAAAATAGCTATTATTACTAGCTATAAGCTATAAACATTACACTTGAACTTTTCATCTCTTCTGAGGCTCATTAATAGAGCTATATTAAGAATAATCTTTGCATACAGTTTTTAAATAAAAATGATTTGTTCCTTCAAATTTGATCGTATTTTCATCAAGCTAATCGGAATATGTTTGATTTGCTTTTCATTGTTGTTTAGAATTTATTTCATTTTTGATGAAATTTCAGAAGGCTTAAAATTATATCAGTGCATTTATGCTTGTCATTTCTCTAAGTTGCTCAATATTACATCATCCTACTTGCGCACTGTTCTTCGTAACATCGGGAAATTTAGAGAAGTAGATTTTGGCGATTGGCAGCTTTTCATCGGTGAAACAGATACTATATGGAATGATTTTATAATTTATGCAAATTCATTACTTACGGAAGGCGTGTTGTCTCAGTGCCGACTTTTCTCGAAGTGATTACTTTTTGATCGAAAACAATGTTATTCATCAATTTTAAGATTTTAAATATATTAAAATTAATGTTTGTAAAATTACATTGGAAAATTCATGTCGATTATTGTGAACTAAACCGAGATTTGAAGTTGAATTTTAGTTTAAAATCTGATAGTAAACTTATAGTACTATGTAAAGTGTCTTAATAACCTTTCGATCATTATAATTGAACTGAATGTTTTGCTCTTTTATTCAACTATATGATTTTTGATCTTTTATAATTTGTTTTTTTTTACTTTGCAGGAATGAATGTGACATGCATCGTTTGGCAGAAATTCTAGACGAAAGCAACATAAGTTATGAGACAAAATGATATGGATCTGATCACTGATGAACGTTAAACGTTGTCATTAAGTGGATTATAAGTTTATTCGAAATGAATTTGAAGTTTATTTCTTGTCTCACTTTTCTTTGTTCTTATGATCTAGATTAAAAGCGAATTTGAAATTATTAAAGAGTTTGTTCCGATCTTTTAAAAATTTCACGATTAAATTTTACAGTGGAATCATTCGCATGCATTCCATATATTGTTGTTTGTTTTTTTATTCCTTTCGAAGGTATTGTATAATAAAAAAATGCATTGCTACGCCACAGAAAGTTTGGAATATGCCGTTCAAAGGTTGATGATAATTATCGAAAATCCTTTTATCGGATCTATATAAGAACAAATAAAACTATCATATTTCTTCCTTTCACTTAATACAAAGATCAACGTACCATTTTGTTCTAGAAATCATTTTTGTGCTAAATGCCTAAAAAATCTATGTGGGAAGTACCATAGCATTCTAAAAAGATACAGAAGAAAGCTGCTTTTTTTTCTTATTAACAAATTTCCATAAAAAATAAGTTTTCTCAATTGTAGAAATCCATTTTCAAAACCACCTCTCATAAATTTCAAACTACACCTTAATTAGGGTGTAATTGAGACAGACATTAATTTTCTGGCAAATAAATTTTCTGGCAAATTCTGGCAAATTTTGAATTCCGATACCAAATAACAGACAGACTTTCAAGTTTTTTTTTTAATTTTTAATTGTAATAATTTAATATTTTAATAGCAATTAATTTCAAATATTATAATTGCAAATTAGTTTAAATTTTTTTTAAACAACAGTGCTTTATTGTTTTCAGGGATATTAGCAATGGTTTCATTCTATTTTGAGTTAAAAGAATTTGGTGACAATTCTGAATTATGCTGTCAGTTAATCGCATTTGTATAGAACTATGATTTTTCAATCGAAATAACAAAAAGTTTTAGAAGGTTAGGAGCGTCGAAATTATTATGCAAAAAAAGATTATTGGTTCTATGATTTTATCTGATCATAGATCGTACGATTTACCGGAATGCATAAAACAGTTCTCTCCGTTAATGCAACAAGTATTACCTCGTTGGGTTGGTTGGTTGTTTTTGCATTTTAAAAAAACATTTTTCAAAAATTTTTTTTGCAGGATTTCCACATTCCATTACTTCAAGCATTGTCATTTATCGGTGAAAATTATTTTTGATTATGTTTCTGTCATATTATTTGGCAGTGCTTGCATTACCGTTATATACCGCGAAAGTAACGGTATGTGAATAAAATATTACTTTCCACATTCCGTCACTTCAAGCATTATCATTTATCGGTGGAATTAATTCTCGATTATGTTCCTGTCATATTATTCGAATTTATTCTCGATTATGCTCCTGTCATATTATTCGAATTTATTCTCGATTATGTTTCTGTCATATTATTTGGCAGTGCTTGCATTGCCGTTATATACCGCGAAAGTAACGGTATGTGAATAAAATATTACTTTCCACATTCCGTCACTTCAAGCATTATCATTTATCGGTGGAATTTATTCTCGATTATGTTCCTGTCATATTATTCGAATTTATTCTCGATTATGTTTCTATCATATTATTCGGCAGTGTTTATACTGCATTTGTATATCGCGAAAGCAACGGTATGTGAACAAGACATTAATTTCAGTATGGAAATTATTAAATGTTTCATCTTAACTAAGGACAAAATGGCTTTTTGTGATTATTACTGTTCAAAAATCATAAGAAAACAATAATCAAATCTATAAATAAATCATTTTGAGTTATTTAAGGTATCAAATGAAGATTGGTTGTGAATGCAAGTAAGACTAAGAAATGATGACAAATAAGGATTATCGGTAATGGCATTAAGGCAAACGAAAAACGGTTCAAATTGCAATGCATGTGGTAAGCAATTCTGACATTCAAGCAATCTAAAAGTCCAGAAGAAGATTTATATATCTTAAAAAACAAATACAAATACGACGTATGCGATAAAGCATTCAGATGCTTTAACTATCTGCTAACAACATAAATTGAGGCATGGAGACGTATGACCGTATTATAATTTAAAAAGATACGAAGTATAAAAGTCCTTGTGAAAAGCTATATTCGATAGTGAGCTTCTTAATTACACTGTAAATAATTAATTTCATCCACAGGACTATAAATTATTGTACTGCAGTAATTTAAATTATATTTGTTACTTATGCTTTGCTTGCTATTTCCTGTTTGAATGTCAAAAATTATTGATGAAAGTGAATGGAAAATTTCGAATAAAATAATTCGATAGAACTTCATACTATATTCATTTTTTTTGCATAAATTTTCATATGTTATTTTCTATGCCAGTATTCTATTCTTTATCACTTTTGTCTAATCGAACCTTTTCACTGATAATTACCGACCATTCTTACCTCTCCACCATATAAACGATAACCTTTATAAAATGCTCTACTAGAAGCTCATCTTCATGATGACCAACTTAACCAAATCTGGTAAAATATGTCTTTTATTAGGGTATGTTGAGATCCAAGCTTATAATTTGAATTTGATTTGATATTTTTATTAAAATAATAGTAGAATTGATTGAGAATTTAATCAAAAATGTTTTTATTGCATATTTATCTCCATTCAGAATATCTTGAAGTCAGAAGTGAAGCAGTTAGAAAGTTGCACTTTAAGTGGTTTCAAAATTTTCCGGAATTTTTCCTAGAAATCTTAATCATAATCAAAAAAGATAGAAAAGATAAATTATATGTATATAATTTCTTCATTCTCAGTCACAAAAAGTAGCTTTTATAATCCTGAATTTCGGCAGCATGTCATCACTCTAAACCAAATAAAAGTTATTCTCCCTGTATTTTATATGAAACTCATAAAAAAAACAAAAAGATACTGCCATTCCTTTCGTTTTTAAACATAAGAATGTTTCGATGTTACTGCTATTATCAAGAAAACAGCACCCCGCTAACTGTAAAGATTTCACTAAAGTTGAAATTCAAAAACACATAGCAAATGAAAACAACAACACACAATGTACAACAATGATAATAAATAAGTACGGTAACATATTGAACAACGCATCACACTGAGATCGCAAATGAACGAAATCTTTGAACGATTATTTGATATTTTTTGTTACAGTAATCTGCTCTTTTCGGATAATCGCCGCCCAATTCGAGGACTGAACGAATTTGTTTGTACCGAGCTTCTGCAAAATTACATTTTTGATAAATTCAGTATGAGTCGGATAAATGCTTCAAATTTTTAAATATAATTTATTTTCCTGGAAGGATCAAAAATTCGAAAATATTTGGTCGAGTCATTTCTTTTCTGCTATCTTCTTATTCCTCAGCTATATTTAAGCAAATCAAAAAGAACATTGAGAAATGACTGATTTGGCTTTATTTGTTCAGTACGAATGTCTTCTAAAAAACATTCAGCTATTGCTTTTCTCTCTTAATGGCAGTTTGTTGAAGCATTTTTTCAAACCTGCGATTGAAAATGTTCAATGAATTTGCGGGAGGGAAGATAAGCGATGAATCAAATGGTTTCGCAAAATCGTATAATCCTTCGTTAAGATCCTTTAAATGTGATGCATAGGAATCGATATTTGTACATCCTCGTTTCCCTCCGGTTACGGAAAATATCCGGCTCGAGTTTACTCCCGCACTGCTATAAACCGATACATCTTTACCGCTTCCGTAAGCCGCAGTAATAAATAAACCCATCTCCAAGTAGCTTTTTAAATGAAGCACTTTCTGCCTATAAATGAAAATTTGTACAATATGAAATCAAATTTGTCACTCGATAGGATTTCCATAATTTGAAAATCAAACTTCGATAATTTTTACAGACGTCGCGAAAGTTGGGAAAACTGACCTGAGAGGATCTGTTGAAAATGATGGAGTAAAAATGAGTAGGCCATTGGGAAAGTTATGAAGCGCAAGCCATAAAGCGACAACTTTATGCTGCATATCAGGCCTAGCAGTGATATAAATAATGGTGTAGCCCTGGAATACATTTTGAATTGCCAAAAATTCGAAAATCTTCCATATAATTTCTCTGACCTTAAGATACCGACACAACTAATTTTTTCATCTTTTATTAAAAAATCGATCATTTATCCAGCTTTCAGTATTTTTCTGTTCAACGGTAAGAAGGAAAAAGTGACTAACCAAATTATACCAGTATCGTACCACATCGACAACTCCCGGCCGAACACGTGGATCACGTCCTGTAACCGATACCGAAGCAGTAAGCGATCCATCAACACTAAACACTACAAGTTGTTCTCCAGGTGGTGCCACAGCAATATACAAATCCAGGAAAGAGTGATCTCCATGCACAATTAATTTCACACAGTGTATTCCAACCGGTAATCGCTTCTCAAGCTGCAACTGCGTTCTTCAAATAAACGAACATTGAATTCCTCAGCAAAATTTTAAATCATTTTTCTCTGCTATGCTATGAAAGTAGTATCGCTGGTTCATAAAATTAGTGAAAATATTGGAAAAATTTACGCATACTTTTGATTGCTGGGAATTTTCACTATTAGCTTTGGAAATTATTGATGAAAAAACTTTGAAAGAGAAATTTGAATTAAAATAAAATACAATTAGAAATTGAATGTTTTTTTCAACTTTTCTATTCATGCAGAACATGAGATAAATATTAAAAATGGTAGATAAATAAACCTCAAATGTAATTTTGCCATGAGAATCAGTAATATATGTTTTAACCAGCTGCCAATCACCTCCAGTGGGTCGTATATGAGCAGAAATATTTTCAAGGCTTAAAGCAACTAAATCCATCGGTCCATAACAAAATCGTGCATGGATAATCTGCTCAGTTCCTTCCAGGCAAATTACGTCGTTACCACTAAAACTCGGCGCTAAATTGGCAATCTGCAAAAAATTTATGCTTCGTCTTTTCTTCTTGCTCAATATCAACAATTTATGCTTTCATCTAACCAAAATTAAACTTAAACTTAAGTCCAAAATAAACAGAAAATACGAGAATTTATTAAACGAAACAACTAAATATTAGGTACAAAAAATTTGCACTACCAGCCTTATATTTAATTCTCTTCTTGTTCCACACTGCAGGACCAAGCTTAATTTCTGATGGAATTTTTGCAACATTAGTCAAATTTATCGGACGCAAGCTTTCTGAATGCGAAAATCGTCTGGAAACATTATTGATTATGATAATTATATAACCATCAATGAATTTTTAATTATTTTGAGGATACTGACAATTTCATGTTCAAACTATGATCTTCTCCTTAATGATTTCTAACAAAATTTCCACTTCAGAAAACAGTCATCTTATGGTTAACCTCTTTTTTTCCGAAAAATATCCATTAGAAATGACACGAAGATAAACCAATATATATGATTCTTAATGTGTGAAACTTATGAATATCAACTATCATTAACTAAGAAGTGGTATGGAATGTAAGCTACTTTTCCTCTCTCGATTGTAACGTAAAACATAACCTATTATTTTAAAATAAAAGTACTGGGATCAAAAAATTAAACCAACTTGAGGATAAAAGCGGCTACATCATCACTTTCCCAGTACGAAGCGTGGAGAACATTGGACAGAGCTGATGAAGGCATAGCAATCATAGCATGCGGAGAGTGTAGTACATGATCGATACGATGATTACCCCAAAGTAATGACGTATCAAATGTACTATAAAGGCGACTTGCAAATTTTTGAAATAAAAATAGAAAAAAATATGTACAAACTAACTAAAAATGAATTATTGAAAAGATACATCGGTAGAATACTGTAAAATTCGAATTATATCAACATATTTGCTGCAGAAATTAATCATAATATTTATAATCGACTCTCGCATTAAAATATGCGTATTAATTAAAGCTTTAGCCAGCTTTCATATTTCTTCTATTGCATTACCACTTTTGGAAATGTCTGAATTATTTACCCATTAGTGTTTTCAACAACATCGGCAGTATCATTGTAACGAGGCACATTCACAGGTGATAGCATTGCAAGCCGAGGATTTAATACTGGCTCAATCCGAGCACCACATGCATCTATCGAATAGTACATATTGAACAACTGATTACAATCTATTGGTTCATCTTCTGCAAGCAAATCAAAAAAATTAGTTTCAATTTTTGATATAAACAGTTAATTTCTTCAAGCTTTAATATAAGTAACTTCCTGCTATTATAAAAAAATGCATATAGTGAAAGATGAAAAACATGTACCATAACCGTGAAATTTTCGATGAACCAAAACAAGAGCCAAAGGACAACCAAGAAGGAATGTCATACTTGGACGAAAAACCAGAGATTCCCACATTTCCTGCAACATATTTACTTCAATAAAAATGATAAAATTTAAAAAACTACCTGTATGTTATCGCCAGAGGTCAGCCTCACATATTCTCCATGAGCTGCTTCTGTCTTCATTTTTTCCTAATTTCTCTTTTCCACTATCATTCAACATGAATTTTAATAAAAAAATTTGAATTTAGAAGAAAAAAGTAATTTGGACATAAGTTACTTAAAACGAAATCAAAGCAAAACTAATTTACATCATTTGAAGGAGTTTCTGAATTATGTGCTGATCGAGAACAATTCCTGAACTTCATACTTAACGGTACCGATGAATTCCGCTGTAATTTATTTTCACTTACCATCGATGCATTTTCTTTTGACTGTAAATTGTAGAGTAATGAAAAGAAACCAATTTTAAAAGAACAAACCAATCTATGCATCCATGGATTAGTAATGACAGTGGCATGAAACAGTAAATATGCTGTATTTTACGCTGCAGGTTTCCATCAGCAAATATGACACTAATTTTCTCGATTTTTTGAAGCTTTTAAAAACTAGGTGGCAAACCGCTGTCTCTGTTACAATACAATAAGATATGATATTTTTTGATAAGATGTGATAAAAATTATTGCTATTAGGTATTGACGAAGATTCAATTACCTCGTGTCTATTCTCCTTTACAATGCTATGAGACCTCGTGGAAAGGCTACTGGAATGTCGAAAAATAGTCTGATGCGACTGCTGCATATGGCAATGATTCCCGGTTCGTTTCAAACATTCATGCAACAGAATTCCACCTAAATAATCACCCACAGCAAATATTTCTCCGGTAAAATTTCGTCCAGCATTGGAATGCATAAATTGATTGTATGCTTCATTAGCCCGTTGTAATGTATTCCGAACAGCCTGAAAACAGTGTTTGATTTTGAAATTAAGCATACAATTATGTACAAATTAATCAGTATAACTAATGCTAATATAAAGGTAATTTTTCAAAAACCAAGCTAACAAGCTAACCTCATTCTTTTACTCAATTATGCTTTCGGTTTTCAATCATTAAATCATCCAAATTACTCGAAACACCTCAAAAGAATACTGTAATCTTAATTACTAATAGTTCTAATATAATTAAGGCTTGTTTATTAAACGGTTGCTGATAAGTCTTATCGCCAAGCAATGTTTTCTTCATCCATTTTTAATATTGGTCTATTTTAGCACTAAAATGCTGCCATCATTGGAAGTCCAATTTTCACTATTATTCTTCAAATATCATTCATGCTAACAAATAATATAAATAAGCTGTTCTACTATTAAAATCGCATTTTTTAAAATCTTTAAAAGGTCAAATAAAACATTATTTTCTATTCCCTCCTTTTTTTATCTTTTCTATATATCATTTTGCTACTCATTCCACAAACAATCTTCATTATTTAGCAATCTCTTTCATAATAACAAAATGATTTCTATTATGATAGCAAAAATCTCATAACAGTGAAACAAAACTATCAACCAGAAATATTTTGTATAAATATTTTAAATAAGTGCAAAAAGTAGATATCACCCTTATAAAAATCTAATTACCAGTCGTTCTACCAGGCACATGTGTACATTAAATAGTACATGTGCTCTATTTTAAGCACATAGATAGCGCTTTGTATCATCAGAAAAGTTTGGATAGATCCGTGCGGTTAAACCTATATCATCATTAATACCTAATTTAATGCTAAGTAGAAGGAATCTTCCCATGTAGAATTCCAATCTATTGTACCAATATACTGATTAAATTCAAAAAGAAAGCTTTCCGCACTGCTTAGGATTTGTGCAACAAGGATTCAAAAAAAACCATTGAATTTTCAAACGATGTCATACATTTTAATTATTATAATCATATTTCCCAATTATTTAACTCTTATCTCACTTTTCAAAGATTCACTCGATTTACAGATGGAAGTCTCAAAACAATAAAAAAATTATCAGATGACAAAGTCAATCCATTCCAAAACTTTAGCTTTAAAAATATGAAATCTCGTTGTTTACACATATGAAACTATCAAGTATATTATTACTCCCATTACTGTAAACATTTAAACAGTATCCATATCATTAAATTTGGCTACCTTTACTTCCAACACAAGTTTTTCTATACGAAGATTACACATAGCTAAGAAAGTATACGATTATGCTATGTATCCTGATAAGAAATCCCGTATTCTTAGTATATCATCCGATCAAGAAACAAACCTCAAAATAATATTGCGATGAAGAAAGAAGTAAGGCCAGTGATGGATGGGCGAGACCATATGTAGGCGTAATTGAGGTCAAATGCAAAACTGTTTCAGCAAATTCTTGACCACACGATACTTGCAAAAAGTGGACACGTCCTTTCAAATGCTTGTAATCTGTTGAGATCTGTTTTTCCATCGTTAAACGAAAAGAATTCGTCACATTCTGATCCGTTGAAACCTGGTAGAAATAAGCAACGTAATGTTCATATATATATTTTTTTATACCATAAAAATATATATTTTTTACCATAAAAAATTTATCATTTATATTTTTTTATATTATTATATTATTTTTTATATTATTTATAAAGATGGCAATACTGTGATTTCAAAATTGATCGTATAATAATCGTCGGAATTTAAGAGCCATTATTTAACGATTAGATCATTATATCTCTTTTCTCCCTATCAGTTTTCCCTATTTCTCTGAATTTTCATTTATATATACAGTCTTTCCTAAATCTCAGAACACATAAAACCTAGATCGAACATCTGCATTCTATAATCGATTTAATATCTCCTGTATATCAATGCACATATTATCTTCTTTTTAAAGATGGGTTATTTTTTGAATCAAACGATGCAATCAACAAGTTTTTTTTGGGGATAATTGTAATGCTAACTGAAATGACAGAAATGTTTGAATCAATGAGTGTGATACTGTTTATAAAGAAAGATACGGCCAGATGTTATCAAATCTTGCAATCTCAACTCTAAACTCATTTATTCATATGTTTGTTCATGATGAAGCCAGACCATGGATAACATTAATTCAGGGATGCATAATGTTCGTCATAATTTGCATAATCTTCGTCCAGAAGCGTATTTAAATTTAAGTTTTCCTAAATTCAATTAAGTAATGTTAAGCAAAGGATAAACAGTCATTTTTTGTATACAAAAATTTGCGGAACTGATCAATTTCACTAATACTTATGAAAAGAATTCGGAGAACGTTCTTATGTTTCCATTAACAACTACAAAGCGTTTAGACAATTGATAGAATTTTCTGGAATTTTTAATATACTCTTCAAATTTCATGCACACTTAGAGACAGATTTTGATGAGTACGTAGCCTTAATACACTTCATACAATATAAGACTGCTTATATTTTGTGCTGTCAATTTTTCACAAACAAATTTGAATTAACATCAAAGATCTCTGTAAAAACCGAACTTTAAGGTTTATATGTTCAAGTTTGCTCAATTAAAGTTAAAAATTTTGGTCAAAAACTCACATCTGAGAAAATATCATCGTAGAAGATGATTACAAGTAAAGAAGCATCAGATTTAGTATTAGTTGCTATTTTCATATTTTGTTCAATTCGAGGCGATGACAATCTTTCATGATTATCAGTAAGCGATATCTCCGAATTCCACTTTTTCAGCGACTGAGAATCTTCCACAGTTGGAGCACCTTCCACACAATCGAAATAAATGGACGAAGAAGCGGAGATACATGACTGTGACATTAACTTGGATAAGTGTTCCGCTGCCTGAAAGAATGGATTAAAAAGTTCTTTTTGAAAATATAGAGAAAAATTTTTTATGAATTGTTGCTACTTCTCTGTCAAATAAATGAATTATTTCAACCAAATTGTGCACGAAATCCCAATATAGACTGATGATGCCATGAACCACTCCATTTAAATCAACTGACAAAAGTTTTAATCGATGCTTTAGATATTATTCAGGAGTTCAGCGATGCTCTTGTCTTCCTTTCCGTGCCATATATTCTCAATATGACAAGTGATTAACCTATGCCTAAGTAAACTATACTGACATGAGAATTCTGATCTACAACTAAAATCCTTGAAAAAAGGTTATTACGTCTCGTTCTAATTCTCGTACATCCTCAAGCGTAAGATTGTACCACTCATCTTGCCATGCCCACGCTTGTTTGTGAGCCCTTAGCATTGTATTACGTAAAGCATAGCTGTGGATCCAACGTTCCGCGCGAGTTTGCAAACCCCAGAGTCGAAATTCAACCTGAAAAATTCCTTAATGCTACAATCCCGATTCGTTCCGCAAAATTTTTGTAAAATCTATTTCATAAAATTCTTGATGTTAACCAAACAAAATTCTACACATCCCAAAATATCAAATGAAATTCCGTGTTTATCTTAGATTGTTAAAAATGATTTTTGGTGGCGCAACGCACTTTGCAAAGTTTGTAAGCACACATAATAGGTTTTCCATTCTTAATGCAATCCTCAATCCAATCTTCTTTGAGCGGCCCACGACCAGTCTTTATACTACAGTATAATTTCGGATCTTCCTCAGGAACATAATCATACGATGATAACGCATCATTCACAAAATCCATTACATCTACAACTTGAAACTTATATTTGTTAATCCTTATTTTTAAATATTTACTGAGAAAAAGAAATAAAATTTACAACAACTAAAACTAATTCCACAAATCACTAACACAACCATTTTTTGAGTGGAATGATTGAAAAATTAGAAAAAAAGTACTTTTTTCCAGAAAATTTACCAACAATTCGATTTTTCAATTTATCGCCGGTAAGCTCGAAAATATTTTCTTGATTACCGGCATCATCACAATACTTTGTTTCCACTTCAATGTTGAAACGATCCAAAAATGGAGATGAATAACGTGTTTTCGTATGAGGATAAGCATTCCAAGCCTCTTCATGTGCTTCCAATGCATCTGTCGGTAATACACTGCGCAACCATACTTCAGAAAAAGAACGTGATAAATTGTGCACCAAATCGATTAATTCTTTTATTCTTTTATTTAATGGTTTAAACATCTTTAGAATGTCTCGCTTAATACTAGAATTTTCCCAGAAAAAAAAAACCTTCAATATCCGGATAAATTTCAAGAAAATCACTGTCCTTAGACGATATACAACATAAATGTTTCATACTTGATCAGCTTTACAATATTATTTTCATAATCTTTCAAAAAGAATCCATCCTATAACCGCCCGAGAAAGTAAAAAGAGGAATCACTTTACACTTCTTCATAATTTGAATAACATTTTATTCATGAAGTATCTTTTCAGCCTCAGGCCTTCTTATCAAAATATTTACTCAATTATTCAGATTCAGCATTCATTTATCAATTTTCACTACTTAGTCATTCAAAACTGCTTGATTAATCTAATTTTTTGTTTTTGAAGTAATATGCTAATTTGTCTTATTTGATTCGAAAAAAAAAGGAGGAAAAGTGCATGAAAATTTTCTTTGATCACATTACTAACAAAATTTTCATCACTTCTAGATATCACCAATCATAAAGAGCGAGTGCAAATTAAAATTGACAGCAACTCTTAAACAATAAAAGAAAATCTCTTCAATTCCACTAAATTAATTAGGCTTTTTAATTCGCATTTTTTTTCCGAAAAATTTTTTCCGAAAATGCTTTCCAACATTTTTGAACATCGTAAACGAGTAAATTAAAAATTATAGCGAAAGCAATTTAAAACGAATAGGAAAAAAAAAACCTCTTTATCCCATTAAATTAATTAGTTTAATCAATTAGCTTGTTTTTGAAAAATTGTTTTAAAGATGGTAAACAAAGTGAGGTTACCTAGCATAAAATAGAAACTATGAAAAAGTAATGCACCACCCAATTCTGCTACCAAAGTAATTAGTTTTTTCTTATTCATAGATGAATAATAATAATAATAATACAAGTCTCGTATTATCTAGTCGATCACTAACCATAATAAGAACTAACCAACCAGATTTTTTCAATATTCATAAACAAGACATTACCATAATACTCATATTTATTTATGGAAGTACGAAATGCTTACCCGGAATTTTATTGCCAATATGATAAATTTTAAATGTATACTGACCAACTTCATCCGGACCATCGCTATATGGTTTATTTGTGATAATTTCCACACCACTTTCACCCGAACTTTCTTGCCGACTTTTTTTCTGTAAATTTTTAATTTTTTAATAAATGAAGTTTGATCATTAATTATTCCAAAAAGTGCCATTTGTTTTATCGTTATTTCTCTTCTCTTTTCCAAAGGAGCATTTAATTTTTATTTTGGAATTTGATCATAAATATCAATTTGAAATAGGCACGCTTCATGTGCTATTTCATATTCAAATTTTTAGTAATGTTGAGAAAATTTTTTTGTTTCTTTTCTATGCAGAATTTCGGTAGAAATTCTACTTAATGTTTGCAGAAAATTGTTTACCACATCTAGCTCATTAATATTCCTGGAATATAAGGATGATATTTCTCGAACATTTGTTATTCAGAAATACAATAAAAATTTACTTTAATTTTCATGCTTCTTTTCTATCTTCCTTCTCCTACCCTTTCTGTATGATGTTATCCTCTTTTCAGGATGTCAATTATTGAAGAGAGTTGTGCCATAATGTAAATACTAAGCAGCAATTTAACATAAATTTAATATGCATTAGATTTTCAATGACTTATTAATCATCAGTGAAGACCACTAATTGAGGATTTCCAGCAGTCAGTTTACATTATTTCGATTTGAATTTTTTTCTTTAAATTTGCAGTGAACACTACTGACTGCTGAAATTTGTCAAAATGCAAGATATAATATTGGGGGTTGATCGCAGAAGTCAAAAAATATTAGTTATGATTTCATCAAATATTTCTTTGGATTAATTCACAAAAATAAGGATTGATTTTTTTGTGTTAAATTTGTACACAATTGAAGATTATGTTCTGATCAAACAACCAACTCATACTTTGATAAAAGAGAAATTTCCCTCAAATATCAAAAATATCCTTTCAAGCTTGTCCACCATTGATAAACTGATTATTTATATTTTAGCAGCTCAATTCATAGTTATTCTTGAAAAATATGATCACCTACAAATTCAATAGTGGAATAAAATCGTAGGCGAATCAATTAATAAAATTTTTTTTTGAATTTATAATTTATGACTTTCCATTTTCGTAATGATAATCCAATCAAGAGTTGGTAAACAACTTCCTGCTTTGATGAGGAATTTTAGCGAATATAATAATCGATAACTATACATCAATTTATAAATATTGCATGGCATGCATGATGAATTTCAATTCCGAAAGATTATAAGAATAGCATAGCCAGTAAACAAAACAATTAAATTTCATTCGAATAAAATTTATCACTTGTTGCGATTGAGAAATAAAATTGTGCATAGGTTTCGAAAGAAAACACTTGCTCAGACATATTTATGAATTAGTTGAGAAAAAAAGCCTTCATCCTCACTAAAATTTCAGAGTTTTATAATTGCAAAACTTTCTTCAAAGACAGTAAAAGAGCAGATATATAAGAAAGGAAGAAAGAAAAGACCTTTTAACAGACAATTTAATATTTTAAAATTGCAAAATTCTTTAAAAATTTATCAAACTTCCTCAAAATATAAACCCATTTTGCAATTGTCTCAATTTTCTCTCACATTCAATAGTATATAATAGTATATAATATAGATTTAATAGTATGTAATATAGATATAATATAATATATAATAGTATATAATATAGATATAATATAGATTTATTGCAATTGATTGATAAAAATTTACATATTCACGATGGCTATTCAATGCAATAAGTGGCATACAAATAATAAATCAATCCTTGAAAAGATGTAAAGATTTCAAAATACAGCATATTTTGACGTTTCATCCAATTTCCTCTCCTAAACCCTTACCTCAAAAAAGAAAATTTATCTAGAATTATAAAAATTAACCTGAATCATATAAAGCTGAGCGATACGATATTCGTTAACAGTAAGAGGTAACAGAATACGATATTCCTTTATCAACATTGTTTTGTTAACACGTAGTTGTTTGCTGCAGTAGTAGTAATAGTAATAACAGTAGTAGCGAAGGAAGGAATAAATTGAATCAAAGAATAATAAAAATATCAGTAATACCGATTAAATCAACCTTCTCCAACAAATAAAATCAGCTAAACAATCGATGAACTTTGTCCCATTTTAATCATCCAAAGTCACTAACTGCAAAAATTTTGCTATTTCCATTTTTTTAACCCATTTTATTTTTTTTCAAGGAAATATTTACAATCCTCTTCAATTATTATTTAACTTCCTACCACCACTTAATTTTTAACCAATTCATAAAATATTGGTAATAGTAATAGTCATCATACACGTCTATCATTCATATCAATTTCCATAAATAACGAAGACTAAAGACTAAACAACCCCATTAGGGAAAGGAATGAAAAGGAATGAAAAGAAATGATGAAGGAAAAGTAGAGGAGAAGGAGGAGGAAGAGGAGGAGGAAGAGGAAGAGGAGGAGGAAGAGGAGGAGGAGGAGGAGGAGGAGTAATAGCAATATCAGAGAGAAAAGGGAGGATATTTAGAAAGTAAAAGAGAGAACCTGTAAAATGTAAATTATATATTTTATAACTGGGATTAAACAGATTATATTGAATGAATGAAAATTGATGGATAATAATACACAAATATACAGAATCATATGGAAGATTACTGATCAAACACAAATGGAAAAGAGGGGAACAAATTTTTTTCATATGAATAACCTTAGCTTTTAAAGCCTTTTTTAGCTGTGTTTTCATCGATATTCCCTTTCCTTGCTCCTTCTTAGGCATTTCTTCCTCTAATATTATTTTATATTCTTTTCTCTTCACCATCCGATTATTTCCCATTTTCTTTTCCCTCAATTTTCTGTCTAAAATTCAATACCTGAAGGAATTTTTCCTTCCTTCCCTTCGCCTTTCATATTTCCATGTGCTTTTTTTTTTGCCGCATTATATTCGGTTTTCAGATTTTTCTTCCCGGACTAGTTGTTACGAAGTATGCAACAACCGTTTTATATTATAACTGAAAGCTAAAGCAAAGATTCTGTCACAATATCTAGTAACTAGTGCAGAAAAGGAAAATAAGTTAAAAGTCTAATGCTCTCTCTCTCTCTCTCTCTTTCTTTCTCTCTTTCTTTTATCTATTTCAAATTTCCCCGAATGCTTCTTTTCTGCCCATTTCCGGTTCTTTCTGTTTTCGTTAATTCTTCCACAAATGCATAAATGAACTTGCTTCAGAAATATATGTAAACTCTGAAGGTAAAATGCCGAAGAAGATAGACATCTATGTTTTCTTCTTCCTCATTTCACTCTTCTAATTTATCCCTTAAAACTTTTGCTTCCTCACATAAAAATAGGATGAAAAAGGAAATTATCTAATGGGAAAAAGGAGCGTAAAAATGGATCAACAATATAGGCTGCTACAAAATATAACTATCGAAAAGTTTGTAATATCATATAATCATACAAAAAAAAGAAACATACATTTTATACAGGCAAAATATTTATGTTGGAAATGTATCGTTCCCTCCGTTTATATTACATCACATTGACAAGTTAATGAATGAAAAAGAAATGGAAAAATGAAAATTTCATTTTCTTCTATTTTTAAAATTTAAGCTAATGCATCGATTTAAATCTATTTGTGCCAATTTTATTGCATTATTTCGATTAATTTTATACTCTAAAATACTTTTGCAAAACTAAAAATGTCATAATTAAAATGGATGTGTAAGAAGTTTTTCATTTTCGATAATTCTCATAATTATTCCAATTGACGCAGGAGATTGCAGACTTTCATGAATATTTTATCGTAAGCTGGGGTAAATATATTACATACACACATACACACATACATATATACACGCATATAGATAATGATAAATAAATAGATAGATAGGTAGATAGATTGATATATACATACATACATACACAAACTATTTTTTATATATATGTGATGTCAATCAAATAAACAGCAATAAATTGTGAAGTGAAGAGGAATACATCGACATCTCACTCATCTTGACGTAATGATACTTGAATGAATTGAAAAAAAAAAGAGAGAAAAAAATGATTGGAATTGAAAGTGATAACTATTTTCAATTCTAATCATTTTCTTATCAGAGATCATTCTTCCCATGTATTAATCATCACTCATACCGTTTGATGATTTCCCATATGTTCAAGGAAAGTATTGGTCAATTTCAATCTCATATTTCATCGATGTCTTCAGATATTCAAAAAACTTATTAAATCCCAAATCTATCAAGCATCCGGCTCACCTATTAAATGTCTTCCGGCACACCGGATATCATCCCCCAGTCAAAAAAAAATAGACATAGAGAATATTGCTTGCATCCATATAGAAATTCTATTAAACCAAAATTTTCATTTAATTTCAGCGGCCGGACCATCTTTTCAAATGGACGGGCTGCAAATTCGTATTCCCTAACCTACTTGAAGTTTGAAGTTAGTAACGACTTTGGTGGCTTGAGTTCTAACATTATATGTGATTTAAATTTCAGCGTTTTCTTTTGCTTCTTTTAAGTTCTTAAATTTTATTTCTTTAGGCCTATGGATTTTGTTAGGTAAATTAGAAAGTTTAGTTACAACCATCCAAGTATATATTTCTTACTTAGCGAAAATAATAGAATTAAAGCAGAATAACCGATGTTTTTTTTTCCTGGTTTTATTTTAAACATTACGCTATTTCAGGTATATAGTTATTAGTGCATTAATTGTTTGTATTTATTGCAGTAAAAGATTTTGACATGGTAATGAATGCGGATGAAACGTTGCCTTCGATGTTGCCTTCAACACCGACTTCTGTTACTGTGAATGATTTAGATAGGTTGGCATTAACATCCTTTTAAATTTTATGAAATCGAATATTTATCGGAAAGGCAAATATTTATATGTGCTTTAAAAATGTTAACTTATTAATCATACAGATTTATCTTTGTTATGAAGATATATTGCACCATTTTTCTTTAGAGTTAAACGATGATTTAGTCCGTGATAATTTTCCAGTGATACTTTTAAGGCAGATCGAAACATTGATGAGATGTGAATGTATCTCAGAGCAAGAGGTAAAATCACTATGCGCCAAAGCGCGTGAAATCCTTCTCCAGGAAGGCAACGTGCAAGTGGTTGATTCTCCTGTTACGGTGATCTTTCGTTATTTATTTGAACTTCTCGAATTTTTTAAGTTTAAGTGAATGAATACATAGTACTCTTGCATAGTTAATCAACACGTTATGCGCATGATATATTAATGTGCAGAATGGCATCAATCAAGTAATTAGAAAAACTTGACATCTTTTATGATGTTAACGAGTTAAGTTAGTAGTAATATAATACTTTTCATTCATTGTCGTATAAAATATTAGTTTGTAAGTAGCCAAGTTAACAAAAAGAACGACAAGTAAATTACATATGAGATCACTAATTCCTTATTACATGTGAGTCTATTTACGTGGGATTAAAAATTCACAAATAAACTATTTATGTTCTTTATGCTTTAAAAATCAAAAAGTATTTCTTTGATATTAGAGAAATATTTAGATATGTGGGGATATCCATGGTCAGTTTTACGATTTGATGGAATTATTCAGGGTTGGCGGCCAGGTTCCTGACACTAATTATCTTTTCCTCGGCGATTTTGTTGACCGCGGTTTTTATTCTGTTGAGGTAAGTTGCTGCGTTATTCATTAACCTTTGATCACCACAATCGGATTGAAATTTTTTCATATTTTTAATGCTATTTCTAAGATAGAAGTTCTTAAATTTCGATGAAACGGAATTCAATTTTATTCGATATAATCGTATATCCGGTTTTGCTCAGATTGCTTCAAACTTGTTATCTAGTCTATATTTACTGCTTTTTAAGCTAAGTTGCTGAGCCTAACATACTCTGTTTTGTGCTAGTCCATGACTTTTATCATTCATTTATTTATAGCATTCATTTCTCTAGAAATAACTTTTGCATTCAAGCATCAAAGGGATCAAGAAATTTTTTTTCCATAAATTAATCTCCGTATGCAGTGTCAGTCTTACTGTAGTGTAAACTTAAAATATAGCTATTTTAACCAACACCGTATCAGCTTTAGTCTCATTTTTAATCAGACTTAGTGATTGTAATTTTTTAGACTTTTCTGTTACTCTTGGCCTTAAAAGTGCGATATCCCGACAGGATGATGTTGATAAGAGGGAATCATGAATCTCGACAAATTACTCAAGTGTATGGCTTTTACGACGAATGCCTGAGGAAATACGGTTCATCAGCCGTATGGAGGTGACTTTCTGACTTTGGTCTTTTGTTTACCCTTAAAAAAGAAAAAAGAAAAAAAAGAAAGGTTGATGGGTTTTCATGACAACATTAAATGTCTTTCCTCTCGTCTTCTGAATTTTACACTATTAGTGATTGCTATTTTAGGTGTTGTACTGAAGTATTCGATTGTCTAAGTCTTTCTGCAGTCATTGCGGGTAAGGTATTCTGTGTCCATGGTGGTTTATCGCCATCAATACAAAATCTTGATCAAATTAGGACAATCGATAGGAAGCAAGAGGTAAATGCAATTTCAGTGTCTTATGTAAGCATTTTTTGAAAAATCTCAGTTAAGGTTTTGGTTTTCAGGTACCTCATGATGGCCCAATGTGTGATTTATTATGGTCCGATCCGGAGGAGAGTGTTGGTTGGGGTGTTAGTCCTCGGGGTGCAGGCTTTCTATTCGGTTCTGACGTTGTTAAAGTTATTTTTATCACTTTCATGTTTATTTCTAACGTTTTTATTTGGCGCAATTCGCCTAAACAATCGGTTGCTGGAAAAGTAATTTTACGAATGCTCGCTAAAATACAGGAAAAATTTTCCGCGTAATTCACAGAAATTATGTGATATCATCCTTTGCTTTTTAAATTTATTTTATCTTTTTCTCTTTTATCAGAATTCTCTAGTTTTGTAGTCTTACTTTTACTTAAGACAAATCAAGATTGCTTTAGGCTTTTTGCCAAGCAAATGGCGTAGATCTGATTTGCCGGGCCCATCAGCTTGTTATGGAAGGTTACAAATGGCATTTCGGTGAAACGGTCTTAACGGTCTGGTCGGCACCTAATTATTGTTACCGGTAATGTTCCTTCTTCGTAAAGTTATCCTTTTTGCTTAAATTACATTAATTTAAAATTACTTTTCATCATCATTTGATCAACTACTTCATTGACAGTCAGGTTGCAAATTTATCAATAAAACTTGTAGATGTGGCAATGTCGCAGCTATTTTAGAACTTGATGAACAGCTAAACAAGGATTTTACTATTTTCGAAGCCGCACCACAGGTTTATTCATCGACTTTTTTCATAAAAAAGATTGAATTAAAAAATTTAGAGACTGGAAGGAATTCTTCGCATCTAAATGCCTTTCTAGCCGTCATAGATCTGGTATCTTTTGCAATTTGACATCCGTCTCTCTGTGGCTTGGCTGACATCCATCCTTGAATCATTTTGGGACAAAAACCAACTTAAAGCAAGTATTAGAACTAGTAATTTCGATGTTCATTTGCAGTGTATTTTTTACAGGAAAATCGGGGTGCTCCAGCGAAAAAGCCTCAACCAGACTATTTTCTGTGAAGGCCGTTTGATAGCATATTTTGAATTGAAATATAGCGTGTTATTTTTTTTTGTGATTTTAAAACTTGTAATCAAAAGATTGATATATATAAGATGAAAGAACCGATAATGGCTGTTCAATTTTTTCTGTTCTTTTATTCCTCCTAAACGTGTTTAAAAGCTTTAATTATTGTTTATAGCATTTGCCACTCATTTATTTATTTTTGATTTGAAATTGCTACATGTTTGATTTCTTTTCCACATTGTAGTACATTACGGATTAATTGGTTAATCATCCATTTGCATTGAATTTGATTTAGAAAAAAAAGTTTCTGCAAAGTCCTGATACAAATTTCTGGTTGTATAAAGTGGCGTTTATTCTTTCTTGCTTTGGAATAATTGGATTCGAGAATTTATCTTCTGCGAATGTTCGTTTCCTTTTTTTCCAATAAGATGACTCTGTTTCGCAACACTCTTTTTTCTGTGTATCACGAGAGTGATGCAATTATTATTTTTATAAACCTACCTGACATTGCTGATCCAAGATATCTCCGTCTTCGTTACTCCAAAACATAAAGGTTGAATTCCCAGCACGGAATTTTTCTTTCCTGCATGTTGCATGTTATACTGTGTAGTATCGTTGTTGAAAGACGCGAAAATCTATAAACTGCATATTGGCCATGTAATTCCGGATAAAGCAGTGCATTACGAAAGTCAGACGTAATGCACTGTTTTATTAATGCTAAATCATCACATATAGGTCTTGAGACGAATTTGTGGCCAAAAGTTCTTGATGCTTATGTTACTTCATATATCTCCTTGTTACTTTTAATACTTATGCTTCTTGGGGACAGTACATTTGTGGAAATTTTCGCCACTCGTTAGTCATTATCAGGTTTTCGAAGATGGCTTAATAACATTCATGATTTGATGGCTTTTCATTACTCCTCCGTTTGAGATTTATACATTATCCAATGATTTCTTGTCGTAAATGTTTTGGATTCTTAACGAGACACTATGAAATTTGAATTGGGCTTGTCTGCACTATGAAATTCGAATTGGGCTTGTCTGCACTTTTTTTTCTTTTGGCAAATACTTGACAAAACTATGGGAATGATTTATCCATTACTCTGGAAAGAAAAAGTGGAAGGAATCAACGTACTGATCCTTTCCATTTTTTGTGTGCATAACGTATTGATCTATAAATAGAAGATTTATCACTTTAGGATTACGTATCGTTGCTCTTAGTAATTAATCTCAATGAATTGTCCTACTATTCACTATTCATATTGAACTCATTTATTTTGAAAGAGAAATAGTACGAGAGCTATTGTAAGTAGGGGGTAATGATGCTAATTTTAATTTCATTGTAGATGTTTGGCTTGACAAGAGTCATCAGAGAAGTTTCATTTCGTACATCTGGTTCGTATTCATTTTTCTGTGCATTGTCATCATCACAGTTACCTGAAGCGTTAAAAGCACGGATTAAAGGGATGATCTCCTCCGCTCCGGTAATAGTTTTTATGAAAGGTACACAGCTCGAACCGATGTGTGGCTTCAGCAAAAATGTCAAACTGGTGAGTTCTAGTTAAATAGTAAAATAGAATAAACGATCGTTTTGAAAGTCTTATAGTTTCGATGGTAAAACAGGAAGGAAAGAATTAATTGTATCGTTTTAGGTGGTCATTTAGATGAGATCTTTTAGTCAGAAGTGCCATCTCAACTCCTTAGTCCCGAAACGTTGGAATTATTTCATCCAGTTATAAACAGTTTGTTTTATATTCCTTCGTTTATCCGGTCCTCTGGCGATCAGTCTTCGTATTCAAATTTTGAGAAAATGCCTGCCATATTCAAAAGCTCGTCTTCAGATAAATGTCCTTTCGTCAGAGCATCACTTAAATTATGTTAAAATTTTCTCTCTTCTATATTTTATTGCAGATCTTAGACTTTCATGAAATTAAATTCAAAGATTATAACGTACTTGACGACAATGACTTAAGAGAAGGCATCAAAGTATACAGCGACTGGCCTACAATACCTCAGGTAGGCTGATTATACAATATTAACTTTTTTTACGAGGAAGAGAAGAGCATAATGAAAAGGATGGAGGAGAAGTGTAGAACTAATTAATATCTCTGTCTGATATTTTAGTATCACTCCTCCTAAAGGAAGAAAGAGCAATCTGCAAAAGGTAAGTGTGACTAATTTCACTTTTATTCTAAAATCCTATATCAGAAAGGGTTAAAAAGCATCACTGCACTATATATGCATGTTTCTCCATCAGTTTCTTCGATCATTTATGCTATGCATCAATAACTTAATTAATGTTCGACATTTTAATTTATGGTATATAAAATGCGTACAACAGAACGAAACATAACGATCCATATCAAATGGAAAAATAATTCTCCTTCTTTACTCAACTAATTAATTTCCATTGTTTTCATCCTATGAAAAAAAATGAAAGCATTTATAGGATATCAGAAAATATACATAAATAATGTGAAATAATAGGACATAAGAGAATAATGCGAAGAATGAAAAATGAGTCGTATCTGGTAGAAACGAATTATGCACATTTTTCCTCTTTTTTATAGGATATATTTTCTAATCTACATTATTCTTCCACTGGAGGAATTCAAAGAAAATGAATAAAGTAGGGAAAGAAGAAAAACAAAATTTATGTGAATTTTATTTCAGGTTTATGTGAATGGCAATTTCATAGGAGGTTGTGACATTCTTGTTAAAATGCATAAAAATGGTGAAATAACGAACCTCTTCGAGAAAGAAGGTATAAAAACACGATTTTCGGATGCTTCAAATGACAAACTAGAAAAACATTAGAATGACGATGGCGTCGGCAGCTGCTGTGACAGCGAAGCTGGTCGCAATATTTGTGCTATAATTATGGTCATATTATCGCAACCAGTGCCATCTCCAGCTGTATTCGGTGACAAACAGTGGTCGCAGATCTGCAATTAATTTTTTGAGAAATGCAGTGCCCTAAGAGCACCTACACAAAGACACATGCTTTATACTTTCCCCTTATCTTGTTAACAACGTGTTTGCTCAAGTTATATTATTTATTAAAACCGAATATTTGCTTCTAAATACAAAACAACATTTCTTAGAAATAGCATGTCTATTAAAAAAGAGAATTTATTGCATGAAAAGCATCTACGTGCGGAACACATGACTTCCAATCTTATTGCAACAATTTTTCATTCCACTCCTTTATGCCCAAATTCAAGGCGTGTGTCATTTGCCTTTTCTAAATAGATAAAGGAGTGTTCCTGTTAAGGATTCTTTCTGAAACTTCGATATTTTTGGTTTGTAGTTTATGCAAACAAATCAGTTTTTCGTCTGAACTACAAAATCAACCCACAGATTGTGTAGCATAACTTAACATACGATCTTAACATACGTTAATTTATGCATGCCTTTCCTATTTAAAATTAAAATCAGTTAACACGAAGGACATTCTCGAAAAATATCTAGAACTCCATAGGAATATAAATCTTAAAAAATTAGACGAAAGACAAACCTGTTCGCAGATATCCTTGAGACTTATACCATCAATTATCCTTTGCCGTACGAAATCAACCGCTTCTTGACTGGTAAGAGAATTCCTGAAGTTATAGACCAGTCGACAGCAGAAATTATATAGTAAATATTAGAATTAGAAAATAACCACCTTTCTTCTTTATTGGATGCTTTAGAAATAACAGAAATTTGGTAATAGGAAAGTGTGAGTGAAAAATACAACTCATACCATATGCCATCGCAAGCAATGATGATGAACTCATCGCCTTGTAAAATTTTATACTGTTTAACATCTGGTAACGCCGAGATCATCTGTTCTTTTAATGGTAATGCAGCATTTTTCTTGTAGAAATGATCACCTAAGGCTCTAAAAGAAAAAGAGTATTGCAAAAGAATTACACATAAATACAGATAGTCTACAAAATTTTCTCAACCAAACACCGAATTTCATTTGTTAAGTCATAGTAATGGAAACCGTTTTAGTTGAATTTTTTGAAAGGAACGGATAAAAATTATCATTCCTCACTGTAATTTTTGAAGAATGGAACTATTTCTTGGAAGGAACCATAAGACTATAATTTTCTGAAATAAAAGATAAGTTAACCTGGAAAGGTTCAAACCACCGTTAACCCGGCCATCCATACTAATTTCGCCTCCAGCTGTCTCAATTCGCCTCCTTTCTAAAATTAACAAAAATATTTCGTTTCAATAAACAGTCGACATAAGCAATTTCAATTTTTTTTAATGCACATAGTAAAAATAGCAAAAATCATTTAGTTTTTGCATTTTATTGAACGAGAAAATAGAAAATAAACCTATATCATCTTCCGGCTTGTGATCGACTGACAATTCAACAGCCGCACCGTTACGACACAGTACTGCTCGACTATCACCCGCATTGCCAACCACCACCTTATCCTGAAGCAACAGTATATGCAGTGGAACTCTTTCGGAAATAATAATCGCTATTAAAAATTTTCTTGCTCTAAAATCTTTACAAAAATACAATTTTCTGTCATTAATTTAAAATGTGGAATATAAATTACGGATTCGTTTTGCAATCATCGATCAATAATAATTAGGCTTATATAATGCGGTAAGAATAAAACAATACCTTAAAAACTATGACAACACATGCTGTCGTGCCTGAATCTTCACCTGGAGTATCACCTGATGGGCAGGAATAATTTTGTTCTGTCTATAACATTATACTTTAAATGATATGTTATGAAAGTAAGTTCTAGATATCAACCAATTCTGGAAAATAATCACTCTTAATTAGCCCCTGCTGAAATTTATCTAATGAACGACTTGATCGCACTAATGTAATGACCATCAAATAATTTTTACAGTCTGAATTTACTTATATCATTTTTGGTCAAAAACTGTTGAAGTAAATTTTTGTGATTGTATGTGCAATATATATTTTGAACTATATAATATATATAGAAAATACGATAGTCTCCCTATTAATAGTTAACGGGATGTTTTGAACTTACATCATCGATTTCCTCATCATCCATTTCCTCTTCCTCTTCACCTTCACTCATCTCCTCATCAGCATTATAATCTTCATCTACTGATTCTGAATCTGAAGAAAACGTAATCTGCCCATCGGAAGTTCTGAAATATCCAAAGCAATACAAATAATGAATATTAATGAAAGAATAATATACCATTTTCTTTCATTTTTTTAAAATTCGATAGCAGAAGAAATTATGCCACAGAATCAATCGTAATTTTTCAAATCAAGGCATCAACAAAAAAGATCAGAAACTGATAATTATTTACGCGGAAGGATGAGGATTCTCGCCGTGTAGCAAGCAGTCATCTCCATCACCTGAATCGATCGAAGGTGTAGTAGTACTAACTTCAGCAGGACCTGCAACTTCTGGCTCGCTATTTGCCGCTACACTTTCTCCAGCAGTTTCACATCTAAAATGAAAGTAAATATTAGGAATCTATTGTGAGAATTATGAATTATCTCATTTGTTCATACAAACTAGTAAAATTCAATAATCCTATCACATTCTCGCAAAGCAACAATTCGAGTTTAACATTAAACCTTTCATCTTGAATCGCCACATCCGAATTATCAACTGCCGATCTATTAGAGGGTGCATTCTTGCTCTGACTTTCCGATAAACCTTCTTCAACATCTGCAATTAATATTAATATAGCTTTCTATTCAATCTTAAATTCCAAAAAATCGTTATAACAACCCTCATAAGATTATTAAAACGATAAATGGCTGAATGGAGATCCCGAAAAAAAGTATATGGAAAGAAAATACAGTTCTTTTTTAACATTGTATCCCAATTGCTGCTCTGAAATCAAAATTTCAAGTTTACTAGGAATTAAACACAATTTTAAAATTAACAACACAAACCATTTGAGGATTTGGTGCGCTTCGCTTTTAAGATACTGGGTGATAATTCACCCACTCGTTTTTTTGTTTTCTCTTCCTTTCCCTCCGTTTTTTTAAGCTGAATTTTATCGGCTTTAACTTCCTTCTCGATCACAGCATCACCATTCTCATCCTTTCCATTTATTCCCTGTTCCAATAAATTTGATCCATTCTCTTGAATTTTCTTCTCAGATTCTTCTATTTTCTGAGTATAGAGTAAATAAAAATTTGCAATTTTGCAATGATTTTACCCATTGATTCGCGAGATTCAGAATGCAATTATCCTTCAAATTTGTTGATCAGTAGTCGTTGATTAATAAATTTAAGAATACAGAAATTAGGACAATCATAAATTATCAATTCTCAAAATATTACAAACCAAATGAAACTAAAGATAATGGATCACCTGCACCTGCTCCTCTCCTTCACCTTGTTGTGCGAGCTGTGTACGTAACTCATTGAGATCAATGACTGACTGCTTACCATTCTGTTCTCGATGTAAGACGATCCCATATCTTTCCAATATGGTTTCAATCGGCATTCCAGCTTCTTCATATAATGTTTGCTGAACACGGAAGGCAAGTGAATAATCTCGATAAATTATGATTTCAGTGTTTCAACTACTCTAAATTAGTGTATTATCTGATAAAAAAATCAATAACCTTGTCTTCGCCATCATCGCTTAAATCGTCATGTTTCGATTCCACGCTACCTGCTAATCTCTTCAATTCTTTCATAACTGCCTCTGTTCTATAAAATACAGGATTTTAGCTACAAAGACGTGGAAGTCAGAAAGCTTTTGAAAATAAAATTCCGAAAGTACATATCAAGAGGATGATTTGATAAAATGATCACTGTTTATAACCTTAGTAATTCATCCAATTCCAAGAAAGTATCTTGTATAGCTTTTGCGTAATTACCCGAAAACCATGAATTATTTCCTTTCAACATATCTGGTAAATGATGTGCACTGTACTGTGCCACTTCACTTCCTGCAGTGTATGTTTAATAGAATCCAACATCTCTTCATTAGCAAAAAAATGACTTTTCGCCTTGGAATTTATAGCACTTTTAAGTAAACTAATTACGCAGATTCATTAGAAATTTACCTCCATGACCATCGTAAACAGCGAAAAAGGAAGAATCTTCGTCATAATTTACAATACAATTATGCGCATCCTAGAATGAAATATTTCAAGGATATTAAGTATTCCAGAATCATTTATCTAAATCACAACTAATTCCGAAAATACAAGCTTATTTATTACTCATCTCAGTACAAAAAATGCACCTCCATCTAGTACTGGAATGAACATTATCTAATACCTTAGCATAAAGTTATTACAAAACGGTTCTGTACAGTTCTGCAGAAAAAAGTACCAATATTTTGAAAAATTTATAGTGAAAATAGGTAGTTGAATGTGAACTGATTAATTTCAAAATCCAAAAAACCTCTTGATTGATACGCCATCCTTGCATACTTGTTGCAGCATAACAGATTCGCTCACTGCCACCACATTCGGACACTTTTTCGGTTATTGGCTTACTTAGATAGGCGCCCATACGTGCTTATTGCTTTATAACTGCAAAAGTGATGAAATTGATCCAGAAAAAAGCGGAACTTTCTTCAAGATCACAACACATATCTATGCTTTTTGTAGTACAAAAAAATACACGCACGAAAACACATAAACCGCGACAGAACATAAATGCTCATAAACTGCACGCAAGCAGTCGATAACTATCGAGTCGTTCTCAATGAAATGGCTTAATCTAGAACAAAAATAAAAGAGAATCCTAAAGAAATAGCACTTAAATTTGCACAAAATTCGCCAAAAAAAAGATGCATATGAAAAACGAAGAATACGTAAGAATGGTAGCAATACTTCTCGGAATCGAAGTTTGGATCAATCCACAATAAATATGTTAAAATATAATTAAGAGCACACCTTTGTTGAAAAACAAACGTTAATTACTGAAGCATATGTTCATGGAAAATTCAATCAAGAATAATATTACTAGCTGTATCCGAACAGTTAAGTAACTAACACTTGAACCACTTTACCAACCAATGAATGAAAATTGCTAGCCAATTATTCCAGTGAATGCTGCTGATTTTGATTATAAAAACAATCAAAATAAGTGCCACCCACTAACATTTTATAACTAAATGACCTAATGTTCCACATCTAGCACACAAATATCGAATATCGATATAATTCAAATAGTTTTATCTATGGCATCTAAGAATATGCGCTATTTGATAACTGGAAACATCAACGAATCTACGCTTGTATTTCCAACTACTCTGACGCCCCATGTAGAACATAGATTTCAAATTCTTATGTTAATAAAAAGAAAAAATCATGAGTGCACCACTATTACAATCACCTGAAATTTGCTGTTCCAGAAAATGGAAATGTAAAAAGACCGAAACCAATTTAAGTTTTTTCGTCAAAGTGTCAAATACAGACTTGAAAAACCTAATTTATGACCGAAAATTAATTGAAAGATTAGAAAATGGATAGGTAGGACTTCCAACAGCGAATAATCTCAAAGTGGTCTCAACATTTAAAATTGAAACGATAATTTTTCGTCCCCTGCATTAGTTACCAGCAGTCTTGTTTGGATATGCTCGATGAGTGAATGAATTGTGTAACGTGGCAGGTTAACGAAAACACCACCTGATCTCCCGATGTTTACCTTATCTTTACCTTACCTTACTTTTAGTTGACCTTATCTCCCGACGTCCAAAATGTGCGTTTACTCAATTGTGTATTAGGCGGCTAACCGTAACATTTCACGGCTAGCCGAGCACCCAATCTAGTCTTGGCGGACAAAAGACGGCCAATGGCTCAGTTTTCTGGGTCATAGTGTGTAGGTATATCTCTCCCAGTGCGTAAACATATGTATATTTTGTTAATTCTTTAATGGGTACGTTATGTTTATGAATAAGAATTCCTATATTTAGTTCATCAGTTTCTTTGATAGTGATTCTCCAAAGCAAACGCTTAATGAATCTTTGAAATCTTTGAGCAAAATTTTAGTTTACAATTTCTCATTGCTAATAAAAAAAACATAATGTGTTGGTTTACAATTTATTGCAGCATGTATAGATCTGTAAATTAGTTCAATTTATCCATGTTGAATACTTGTTGGATCATACTGCTATCATTGTACTAACTTATAAGCAAATATCGTAGTACTGAATCAAATGATATTATCTTTACTAATTAAGGAAAGATAATATTTCAAGGACTTAAAATTTAAAATGAAAAGAAGAAAGGAAACTCTACAACATTTTCATTAATATTCTGCTTGACATGAAAGAAAAGGGAATTCTTTACCGAATAAACCGCTGGTAATGGATGATAGAAATAGAAATGAACTGTATTTATGATAACTAGATATGTTATAAACAAGTTGAGAATAGATTTTCCTGAAATTTTCTGCTTTAAAATGTGATGCGAATGAGTGCTTACATAGTGGTAAGTTATGTTCAGCAATGAATCAGCAGGATCTACATGAGCTCAATTGATTATTTGACTAGAACGATTACTTTAGCTCTCGCTATGTGATCAATTTTTCCGAAAACGTTAACGATGAGAGTCAATCGATCATGTTTAGAGTTCTATTTTCATTTGTGATCTTTTCTGCTAGTTACCAATGTTTGTAAAATCTTCGCGCGTTTCGACGTCAGCAAACGTTAACGATATGAGAGTCGATCGATCTTTAGAGCTTTATTTTCATTTCGATCTTTTCTGCTAGGTACCAATGTTTGTAAAATCTTCGCGCGTTTCGACGTCAGCAAACATTAACGATATGAGAGTCGATCGATCATGTTTAGAGATGTTTGTAAAACCTTCACGCATTTCGATGTCTGGCATTTATCAATCATTAACGGATTAGTACTTATCCGCTAGCTCCTACCCATTACAGGTCCACTGATACCATACCGATTGTCCTATCTATTATGGGCCGTTGGTACTTTACCATTGGTCCTGATCCGTTAGAAGCTGTTTCGTGTCAGCTTTGAACAATTCGGTAGGCATTTATATCGTTTCAGACCTTTAAATGAATGGTAACTCTCCATATAAATACCGTCAATCTCTTTTTCTTGGATTTTGGCTATGTAAACAAATAAGAAGCATACTGTGATATTCCCACCACTTTAAAAAAATGAAATTCTACTATGTCAGAAATTTCATTCCCGTCCATTAATGTAACATGAAAAAGCAGTTTAATTTATAGTTGAATAACTTTTCTCAGGATTTTTTATCTGTTAAAAATTTCAATCTTTATAAGAAATTTTTAGATCTAATTATTTTAATTTTAGATCTAATTAAGAGAAAAAACGAGTTTGCGGATTAAAGCTATTCTATGGATTACTTTTTATGTTTATATACGTTTATGTTTATGTATATTATATACATATATGTTTATGCATATATTAAATTAAATAAATGTTTGATATCTTAAATAAGATGAGTTCGTGTACATAACTGTTTATGCTTTTGCAGTAGAAATTCTTATTTCAAAATCTTGAATTTTAATTAAAATGTTTACTTAAGTTAGCAACAGAGGATAGATTATCGTAGATGCCGTCACTGGTTGTCTTGGGACGACGATGGAATATTGCAAGTGATGATTTCGTATTTCCATCTTTGTCCGAAATATTAGTTCGCTTAGCTTGGTGAGTTTTTCCTTTCTGAAGTGCTAACATTTTGCAATATCATATACCGTTTCATTTTTCATCGATTATCTCATGCTAAAGTTCAAGACCAATTATCATTGCTTAATTTTGGTTCAAACACAAAATAATGATAATATTGATTGCTGTTCTAATCGTTGTCATTATTGTCATTATTATCGTTTCGAGCACAAAAGTTTGCGAGGTATTTTCTATTTTTCTGAATGATAGTGGGGTAGAATAATATAGGACAAGAGGTTACAAAGTAGAACTGCAATGATTAATAATGAATAGATAGTAATAATGATTGTAAAGATCAATAATGATTTAGCAATTATGGTATCTATCCATTAATAAAGATTATTTACTACTGTTTGTTTTGATATTATCATGCAATGATAATTGATATTTTATATATTTATGTGATTTTAATTACATGAAATAGAATAATTTCAGGATATCAACAACATGCGTCATATTTATGTTGAAGAAGTGGGAAAATTGCACCGATCAACGCTCATATATTAATTTTTTTTCATTAATTGGTATTAATGGTATTACTATTTTAACATGTCTTGTCATGGCGTTGATTAGTGCTCGTGGATCTATCCTGGAACCGCATAAGCGATATCATATCACGAAAATCATCTACATACGTCTGCCGTTGTTTATCTGTGAAATCGCTATTACTGGTGCATCAACGATTTTCGCTTACAGTGAGCTTAATGAACTTGACAATCATTTGCAGCAGTGATTCGCATTCGATATCTTTCTTTAATCTTAGCTTTCTCCCGATTGTTTTCTCCTGGAATATTTTAAGCTATTGAAATAGTATCTTAGAATTATATTTCAGTTACTGATATCCTTTTTAACTGCGCAGGTTTTGTTTTTTATTTTCTTAAACAAAGGAGGAAAAACAAATTAAACGAAATAAAGAAAAAGAGAAGAGAGGAAAGAAGTAGAAAGAGATAGAAAATAAAGGGAATAAATGCTGTTTGTGTCGTTAGATTATTCAACGTTTGATATTTTACTAGTCATTTTTTCTGCTTCAGAAAGAAAAGTTACGATAAATAAATTATTTTCTTTTTTAATTCAGGAAGTCCAGCTCCATGCAGTCTTGTTATTATACTCCGTTTAGCAGTTATGCTTCAGTGGGCTCTGATAGTAACAGTTTTGGTTGGTGTTGCTGCTGTATTTAATCCATCTGGTGACAGCCGTATACAACCAAGTTTTCGGACCGAAAATCAAGTGTGGATATTACGTTTCAAGTTGGTTAGTCATTGTTTCATTCCAAATTTTTCCATTTATTCTTGATTAATTTTCATAAATTATTCGCTGAATTGAGTTAACGTTAGAAAACTTTAGTTTTTGCTGAGAAGAAACGAAGCAATGCGTACCGCGTTAAAGGATATTGCCATTCTTACAACATCGTTTTTTGCCGATGTCGATCTGGTAGCATCCGATATTCTAGCTGGTCTTTTATTGGTTGTTCATGCTCCTCATCGACCACCCAGTTCCACTACTTATCTATCAGAAAGTGAAGTAATTTTTTTTGCGGATTGTTCGGGCATTTGGTGATGTAATGATTTAGGGATGATTTTCCAACTGTACTTGCAGGCTTCCTCGTCCCCCAAAATTATATTACATTCTGTATCAGTTCATTATAGATAACACAAATATTTTCTCTGTATCGATTCGTTATAGATACGCAAAAATTTTCTTGCAAACTACATATCGGTGTTACACTCTGATTTAATAACAATGCTTGGAGCAAGAGACTATTAGTACAGAACGTAATCACAGTACTATATAATGGTAGATTATTATAAAGATAGAGAATTTTTCGAAATCCTTTCAGTGATTGTAACTAATAGACTCTTGAAACAGCTTTTCATATATCAACATGATAGTATTATTATTATCATATAGGATGCTGCTCATAATAGTGGGATAACGAGATTATTACACGTTGTTGTTAAAATATGTTTTTGCAAATCAGCCAAAATAGGATTATTAAATTGAAGTATGGATAAGTTATTCAGCCACCAAATTGGATGACATTGGAGAATGCGCGTTATATGGCAAAATATATAGCAGCCATGTATGGTTGGGAAATTTATATGTTTTACAATTGCGGTTGTTGTGATTGGCTAAAAGTATGCAGAAAGATTAAATGTTGCTGGAAATATCGCAACAGGTTCAGTTTTAAAAGACTCGAAAATTTAAAAACTTGTTTTTTCCCCTTTCGTGCTTGTGATCGTAATGACGTAAGTTAGAAGTCGTATGTATCAATTACTCATTACTTTAAGCAGTGGGGTGTAACGGACAGAAAAAAGAGGAGGAAGAAAATTTTGTATGTTGCGCCTTATTCTTTAAACTAGAATGAGTAAGATAGAATAAGCTGGCATTTCGGTTTTAAGGAATTTGAAACCTTGTTCTGATAAACTTTAGTTCATATTTCGTAAGGCATGGGGCATTTCTGATATCCTTAGATTTCTGATAAGGTAGCAAGGAAATGCTGATGTAGTATATTATTGGGAATTTTTAAAATAAGAAAATAGATAACATTACTGGGAAAAAAAATGGAAAATTGTTTTGCAGGCAAAATTTTCCGCTTAGAGGTGATAATTGCTGTGCATGTGCTACAGCTACCTTCTTGACAGTAACAGAATGTAAAGAAACTGATATCATCTTCGCTTCATTTGCAAATGAACTCTATCAGGTAATATCAACTGTTTATAACATTAGTCTGCAAGGTGTCGTTCGATATGCACAAAATTTTTCTCAAAAAAGGTTATCTTTATATTATTATCCCAAATGTCTTGGTAAATTCAGTAATTAATACTTTAGGTACCATTTATCGTACTTGTGGATGTAAAAACAAAAAGTATTATAATAACAATACGTGGTACAGCTTCAATGATGGATGCGATCAATGATCTATCGCTTGATGATGAAGCATTTTCGGTGGATATAGATCGGGATTCGATTCTTTCACAAGATGAAAAGTTGGATACTCCTGATAAGGTGCGGAATAAAAAAAATAATATGTGTAAAATTTTAATTTTAATACTTGATTTTATCTTTGTAAGTAAAGGAGCAAATTATATTGTAATTTGCATTAAAATTTTTCAGGAAGTACGTGTACATCGTGGGATGTTGCGTAGTGCAAGATACGTGCTTGAAGCATTACGTGCGAATCGTATTTTGGAAGATTTAAAATTGAGATATCCGGATTTTACAGTCGTTTGTTGTGGACATTCATTAGGTGCAGGAGTTGCAACATTGCTTACGTTGCTCCTTAAGTAAGTATTGCTCTATTTGTGTTGAAATGTTGCTCATTATACGATTACATATCTAAAAGGATGCGTAGAAATACGAAAATTGTAATTTTTCTTTCAAAAAAATGTCGTGTTTTAGGCAATCAATCAGTCCCATACAGTGTTTTGCATATTCTCCGCCAGGATGTGTTATCAGTGAAAATGGTTTAAGAGAGACACAGAAATTTGTATTTAGTGTTTACATTGGTGATGATATTGTCCCACGGTTGTCATTCCAAGTAATGCTTTTAATTCTCTTTTTTGTCCAAAAAGTGGTTGTAGGATAAAAATAAGACAAAAAAAGATATAATAGATTAGAATTTGTAATTGCATATCTTATATGAAGAATTGTAAGCAGAATGCTTTCACATTGTTATCAGTCATGTTTTTCCCACTCTTTTACACATGAAATTGAAAACGAAACGAAAATTCATTCAAAACGTTGGTGTTTATTATCATAATAAAACCATTAAACGCATTATAAAAGTTATTTCAGACTTAAATAGTAATCTATGATCAGAATTTGTTTCTTGGAAAAATTTTCCGTATTATCACAGTTTTTTTTAATTTTTAGACGTTATGTAAATTGAAATATGATGTCATCATGTCGTTGGCATACAGTAATTCACCGAAATATAAAGTTTTACTACGTGGCTTTTACCGATTGTGCTTTTCTCATCCGTGGAAATCAGATCGGAATGGTTTGTTTCTTTATTCAAATTTGAGTGAATATACTTTCCGGAGTTTTTTGTTATGCCCAAAATAGCAACATGGGCTGGGATATAAGGATCGAAAGCTGAGCCTTAATTTTATGATTTTTATTCCCATTCTTTAGTAAAGTGAGAGATGAACAATTAGTTATAACCTAATCGGTGTGATTGGGATTTATAACTTTTTTTATTTGCATATGTGAAATTATTTGAAAGAAAATCTAGTAAATTCTTCGCAATTAAATTTCTTCCTTGAATGAAGAAATCATGTGTTCTGCTGTTGCAGAATTTATTATTAATTTATTTATTAGTTTAATTTTTATTTACTAAATTTTCTTTCAAAATTTAATCTATTTATTAATTTAATCTGTGTTTTATTCTGATAATAGTAATTATTTAACGGTGCTTAATATATGGAAAGTAGCGAATTATACGTTATGAGAATAGTATTAATAAAATAATTTGGTCCAGTATGACATTTTGATTTTGTGTAATTTTTTAAATAGGTTCGTTTAAAATCATTGTTTTTTATTTTAGTAGATCATGAAGATGAGGCAACTGTAAATATTAACGATCGACTTCCACTGGTTTTCCATACTTCGTCATTTATAATTAATGATGATGCTGATGGTGTGGAGGAAAACAATCCTGCAGAAAGATGGGCAAAAAAGCGGACAAAGGTATAGATGTTCTTAGGAGGATGATGTATTGTTCTTTTTTAGCATTATTTTCTTACTAATGATATGTGGGTATATAAAAAGCAAAATTTTTTGTAGATGTAAGTCATTACCGTTTAAAGATGTTTTTAGTATAGTAAATTTAGTCGTAACTTGAATTCAAGTCATGTAATTTTGCAGCTTCTTCCACCAGGATGTCTTCTTCATGTTTGGGTGATTGATAAAGAAAAGAAAATAATTTGTAAAAGATGGACCCATCATAGGTATTTATTTTTGTTTTCTTTATTCTTTTTTTGAAAATGGCAACAGCAGAACACATGATTTCTTCATTCAAGGAAGAAATTTAATTGCGAAGAATTTACTAGATTTTCTTTCAAATAATTTCACAAGAAAAAATAAGCTAAAGAAAAGAAATTGGATCATTTTTTTGCATTTCTAATCAGTCATACTGCAGTTCGCTGAATGAGATCAAGCTGTCAAGTGCTATCATCCGTGATCATATGCCATATAATGTGTTAAAAGTGCTTAACATGAAGCTTAATTTAGATACGTAATATTTTCAAGAGGTTTTGTTGACTGCTTCTCTATTCATTATTCTAATATTTATTAGATTTACTTCTACACTTTTTCTTTTGCAATTGCCTTCATTAAATTGTAGTCTCTGAATTGAGTACGATTTCACTGTATCAGTTTTTATTGATTCACTGGTGGAAAAGTTTAGAAGGGTTTTTTCTAAAACTTAGGATTTCTAAAATTCGAGAAACAAAAGGGAAGAGCTATTTGTAGCATGGTCATTTTTAAACAGAAATATTTCTGTTTCTGATTTTGCGGATAATCGTACCATGTTACTATTACCTATTGTTTTAAAAAATAAGATGGAGTATATAGGGATGTCTTATTTTTCTGTTATTTATTTCACAAACCTTATTACTTTTTTATTTCATTGAAAATATTTCAATCAGTTGACTTTTTGGTAGCAAAACCAAATAGCTCTGCATGTGTCCCAATCGTCGTTCCATTACCGATGAACATATTCGAATATGTACACATTGGAGAGCAATGTCGAAATGTTCGTCTTTCCAAATATGGTATCGATGATATTAAGTCAATTTTTTTAATTTTTTTCTCTGATATTCTTCCAGTTTCTTCGTCCTCTTAAAATTAGTTAGACTTTCATATTTTTTTTTGATTTTTATTTTTTCTTTTATAGATATACTCATCTTTTTTTTCTTTTTCTTAATAATATTTTTTGCGCAATATACAGTTGTAAATGTGAAGAGCTTGATCTGACCCTATCTTCTCAGATTATTTTGATGTAAACATCATTTCTTTGTAGCATTTACATTGGTTTGTAATATTTATTGGTATAGGCATAGTGTTTGAGGAATGAAGTCCCACATGTAATTCTAGATTAGTTTTAAAATCATTTTTCCCAATTAAAATAAATCTAAAAGTCGACTTTTGACACAAATATACACAATTGTATGTAGCACCAGTTAATCCAAATTTTGAATCGCAAGGTAATGATTTCGCATGAAATTTCAGAATCAACGGTAAAAAATTTGAGGACTGCTTCTATTGCTTCAGCATATGTTTCTCCGCTGTATTTTCTATACAGTATTGTAATAAAGTAACACTAAATAAACATTTCATGTATAACCTTTTTATTTTAAAATTAATTTTTTTTGAAATACTATAATGAACATGACGGAATAGAAAAAATATCACTGTCTTCAATTTCCAACTATCGCGCAATTTAAGAGTGAATTCTTGCGGTAATTTTTCGGTGCATCTTCAACATCTACATATGTAGTTCTCTATTCAGTCTTAAAGTGCCAAAAATAGCTGTAGAAACTTTCATCTGAAGGTAGTGAAAAGTTAGACGTAAGTTCTGTGAATCACTTCTTGTTTGTCACTTCGATATCAAGAAAAAAATTCTTTTTTAATTGGATAGTACTATAGTTAATGCTATAGTTAATTATAATAATAATAATAGAAGTTAGATTGACACACTTCAGTTAATCCATTTATCAAATCTTATTATCTATCCCTTCTATTATTGTTCAAAAAGTCTATAATATATGAACATATGAGCTTTTTTAGTTGGTACTTAACGAGAAGAATTATACTTTTTCAATTATATGTAATGAATTTTCAGAATAACTGATATTTTTATTTGAAATGTGATGTTTTAGAGTAATCATTGAGTGTATATGAGTGTATATATAAATATGCATTTTCATGTACTTTGTTTATTTGTATTCTATTTACAAATATCTAAGTTATTTTATCACTGATGATCAAAATAATTGATTTTTGATGATTCCTTCCATTTCTTTTTACTAATTAAAAATATGAGGAAGCATGTACTAATAATGAGCTATAGGTTAAAAATTTGGGTTAAAATTTTAAGCTAAATTTTAAAAGAAAGAAAATTTAATGTTGGAATCTGGCATCTTCATAGATCATATTTATCTATAAAATTGATAATTTAATTTCACTGCAAGATACATTTTCACTAATGAGTGCATAAATTTTCAGCAATATTTTATCAGTATTAAAGTTTTTGTCATGACATATGTTAACATATTTATTTATCATTTTTTGTCTAAATATTAAATTAATGGAAGGTGGTAAATTAATGAGGTATTTTAATAGTTTTATGAATAATAATTATATGCTTATTTGTTTTACAAGTGCAATTTTTATGTTTACTAATTGAAATTTTCGGATGGAATAATAATTACTTTATGTACTTTTTTAAAATGGCAATTCAAATTTTCAATATTTATGCTTTCGTTTTCTTTGTTAACTTTTTTTATTTACAATTTATCAGTTTTATTTTCATTTTAACGAAACTGATTCAGTTCGATAACTTAAAATATGAAGATGAATATGAAATTAATTTTGCTACAATGTTTTCATGCTTATGCTTCGGTATGTAAACCGTACGTTTTCTTGTTTTCGTGATTAATCAATTAATGTCAAGCATAGGTATTCGTCGATGTTCTTCAAAGGAGTGAATAGTGCTGTTGGTGATGTTATATTCTTCAAAAAAGGTGAGAAGAGGAAGGATAAAGATCAATTTGAAGAAGCAATTGTTGGTGTTGCATCTGAAGCTGTAATGCATGTAGCATTGCTATGTGAGGATACGGGTCAGTATGTGATACATGCAACCCCAGGATCTGGTGTATGTCAAGAATTTCTGACGAATGTACTAGAAAAGCTGTGTCCCCAGAGTTTTGAGGTGTATCGAGCTCAAGTACCAGAAACAGTTCGTATCAATGCATGTCATTGGGCAAAATCTAAAGTTGGCGCAGATTATAACGATATTTTCTCCCCTAATTTGTGTAACTCTAAAGGTAATGAAGCATTCTACTGCTGTCAGTTGGTAGTAAAATCATATGAAGCTGCTGGCATCCATGATTTCTGTCCATCACATCAATTAAATTTCAAGGATTCAAATGGGAAAATTTTACCATTTTGGGAGGAATATTATCGTGTGCGATCATTACCGGTACCGCAGGATATGCCAGGTTCCCATCCTGCTAAATTAATCCATTCTAAATATTTGAAACTTTATTTTGCCAGACTTTGCATGTCGTTGGTGAAGTTCACCGTTCCGAAGACCATCGATGATGCATTACATTTCATACGTGGGGCTCGTGTAGCACTCACAGCAACCAAATATTTTGATGTATATCAACCGAGAAATGGTTAGTAAACTTGTCAAAACTTGTTTTCAACTAAAACTTTTAATTTGTAATTAAATCTAATTTGATATTTTCTCATATGTCACAGATGATAATAAATTTTATAAAGCGCCATATTTTTGTCGTGACAATTGCAGTAATTGCAATATATTTCGCGTACTATTTTATAAAAACTTAGTCACTGCGACAAATGTTATTTTTGCTAAAAATAATTTCAATTTTAATATAATTATCGAAGCATAAGATGCCCCAAATTCTATTGCAAAAAGATCAAAAGAAGATGAAGATCGATGACGAGACGAAGACTTTTATTTTTAAGAAAAAAATCCATGATATTCCCAGGTGAAATATTAGCGAAATGCGGCTGTGCTAATGCTGAAGTGGTTGATGAAGTGGTTAGGGATGCCTCTGAGGCGCAGAAATCCTGGGCAGCCCTAAATGCTCAACAACGTGGAGCAGTTTTACGCCAGGCAGCTTCTATCATACGCGTATGTTCGCGCTTTTTTTTAATGCCAATTATTCAAAATATCACGAAAGTCTTTCCCTATCACATGTATAATACCGGGGTGTGATCAAAATATGAGTACTGTTTCATATGTTTCATCTGCTTTGGCTTCGACTTGTCGTCTTTACATATTTGGACAAACTATCTTGACTTCAAATTTCAATCAAATGCTTGTACTTTATGGCTGTTTCATCATAGTCTCTAGTTTGAACCTGTCGCTTATCATATCAGAAATATTCATGAATTTTTGCATTATCAACATTTTAGAGTGTTGAGGATCAATTAGCATATTTGGAAACAGTTGACTGCGGTAAACCAATTGAAGAATCACGATGGGATGTGGCTGGTTCCGCGGATACTTTTGAATTCTTCGGCGGTGCCTTGCATAATATTGCTGGTAAAAATTTTTAGTTCCTTAAAATGTTTTTAATTCGTCAAACTCGATAAGTATTCAAAAATTTTCCAAGTTATTTTGTCAAAACGGGTCTGAAAAGAAATCCTTTAAAATATTAAATAAAATCAGAATTTCTAATTTTTCTAAATGTTGTAAATGTTGAAATCGTTGTGGTATTTATTCAATGTGAAACTTTTGCCTTTTTATTACTCATGTATCCTTATTATAGGCAATCACTTCCCATTAAGTAACGACAATTATGCGTATACAGAACGCGTACCATGGGGCATTGTTGGTGCAATTGGTGTTTGGAATTATCCATTGATAACTGCATCATGGAAAATCGCACCAGCATTAATGTGTGGTAATGCTGTGATCTATAAGCCATCGCCTTTTGCACCTGTAACTTCTGTAGTATTGGCTCAAATCCTTCAAGCTGCTGGTCTTCCTAATAGTGTGCTATCCATTTTACAGGTACAATTTTATATATTTCGAAGAAGACTGACAGAAGTAACAATTAAAATTACGAAGTTCTTTCGATCTTTCGAAGTACTTTTATATGGATTTTTTTCAAATATTTGCTATCCTTACAATTACTTGGATTGCAACTTTTTTATTAACTCGATAAAAATTAGCCCATATGATCTATTTATTCATTTTCAGTTATTCATATAAAGTTAAGCTTCTATACCTAATGTATTAAATATAATATGTGCATTTACTATTGTTAATTATACTGTATTCACTAATTATATGCAGAAGATCCACAGCACATATATTGCATTGCTGCGGCTTCACATCACGAATATGAAGTGTAACATATTTGCAAAGTCATTCAAAAATGAAACATCATTACTGGTTGATCAGTTCAGTATTTCAACGACAGTTCCATTAATGATTGTTTGGATTAAGCCAAAACATTTCAGGGTGAAGGTGAAACAG